TATGCATAAGCCATGGACATGAACAATGGTGTGGGAATTGCCTGAGAGATTTGGGGGTGCTGAGTGAAGGGGGGCAAAGTGAGAAAAATTGGGATAACTGTAATAGCATAATCGATAAGTATAATTTAAAAAATAAAATGCTGTAGCAAATCAAAGAATGAGAAACAGAAATAAAAACTCTAACATCAGGGAAACCAGAAAAAATGAATCCATAAATTCTACACCACAATGACTGAGGACAAGAACACAGTATGTGCTCGACAGAAATGGGGTTGGGTGGTGGCAGAAAAGGAACCAAGAAATTGAGAGGCTAGCTAATTTGCCTGGTAGATTCTGAAAAGACTAAGACATTTGAGATGAATACTCACCAAGTGAAGATAATATCAAAAGAAGTAGGAAGGCAGGGAAAATATAGTAGTATCATTTGACAGCTAGTTTTTTGTTTTCTAATTAGGAGAGTGAACAGTTAGACCCAAAATTCACAAATCCCACTCACAAAGTCAAATAACTTCTCTCCATCCTTTCAAGAGATCTGAGGATTGCTCTGTGGAGAAGTTTAACCAAAAAGGCTCTGGAGTCAGGGATGTGAGGTCCAGTGAGGGCAAAGGTGAAAAACAATGGTAAAGAGAAAGAAGTAAAAGACATAAATCTCCAGATTAAAAACCCATTAAGCATCCAACACAATAAATGGGAAAAAAATCAAATTTTATTATTGTGAAACTTCATAATAATAGGGTTAAAAAGAATATCCTAAAAGATTCCAGAGAGGAAAAAAGAAATAGATCATACAAAGGATCTGGAATAAGAATAATCTTGTACTTTTAAAGAAATAATGTGGTAATATTTCTGATGGAAATGTAAGAAAAGTTTACTCAAAAACATTCTTTTACATTTTGTAAAAGTTTGCATCCATCCAAACTACTAAACAAGTAAATAAAAGGGTAGCAAAAAGGCATTTGAGATATACAAAGTCCCCCATAAATGCTTTCTCAGAAAGCCAAAGGACAATATGTTTCACTAAATGAGGAAGGAAACCAAGAAAGAGGAAGAATGGGAATCAGGACATAAGAGAGAGATAAAGGGAATTTCCAGGATGACGGGGTGGGGCGAGGTGGGGAGGAGTGCTAGGACCACAGCTGCGCAGTAGGCTGAGAAAGTTACCAAGTCAACCTGGAGTAGGAAGTCAAAGTTCCGAGGGTATTTATATATGGGGTGATAGTGCCAAAAAATATTATAATGTGTATCCTATTGCCTAATAGATTTGATCTCAGGGAAGATTGGGTAGAGAGGCATTTTACAGAGCTCTTATACAGTTATGGAACACAGAGTATTATTAATACTAAGCACATAGAAAAAAAAGAAGGTGATCATTAACTCCAGGAAGAAACAAAAAATTTCCAAAGGATGGAACTACAGTCACAGTGTTCTACCTCATTTAGCAGTATGTTTTATTTCAATATTGAAAACATAGAATATGAATTAAAAATAAGATGTAATCTTACTGAGAAGTGAGGAGAAAAAAGGGGTATCAATAATTTGTCTTCATCTATCATTACAGGAAGACAAAAGGCAACATCAAAAATAGATGAGTTGAGAAACAGCAAGATAGGTGTATTCACAAATGAGAAAGTAAATCACAGAAGAAATACCTGCAATAGTTTAATATTATTTACTATTTCTGGGGAGCATGTCAAGGAGAGGGTAGAGATTATTGTTTCTTGCGATGAGCTGTTTAGCATATTTTGACTTTTAAACTATTTTTTGTAATATTTGCATAAAATTGAAAATGCTATATATTTTTTAAAATTACCCTTTACAGTAACACAAGCTCTGTTAATTTATCTTCTTAAATTCTCTACTCCAGATCTCTGGGCCTCTTGCAGGCCACAGATGGGTTCTTAGGAGCCACAGTTAGTACAGTGCTATTAATTTCATTTATAATTAAAATGTAGGTGGGATTGTAGACCGCCATAGCCACTTTGGAAGACAGTCTGGCTGTTCCTCAAAAAATTAAGAATAGAGTTACTATATGACCCAGCAATCCTCTCCTAGGTATCTACCCAAAAAACTCAAAAATATTTATTCACAAAAATATATTCACCCCTATGTTCATTGCATCATTATTCATGGTGGCCAAGACATGGAAACAGCCAAAATGTCCTGCAATAAAGGATTGGACAGAAAAGGTGTGGTGTATGTGTACACAATGGAATACTACTCAGCCATAAGAAAAAATGAAATACTGCCATTTGTGACCACATGGATGGACTATGAGAACAATAGGCTAAGTAAACTAAGTCAGTCAGAAAAAGCTAAGAACCATATGATCTCACTCGTATGTGGGATATAAAATAGAAACTTGTGGACACAGCAATGTGGTGACTGCCAGAGGGATGGGAGGTGGGGAAGTGGAGGGGGCCTAATACACGGTGACGGAAGATGGTGTGACTTTAGGTGATGAACACACAGTGCCATGTGCAGGTCTAGTATCACTGAAATGTACACTTGAAACCTACACGATCTTATTAACCCAGATAAAGTTAATAAAATGTAATTTACAATGTATAAGCCCATTCTGGATCATCTGGGTAGCTGTCATTTTGGTGCCTTCACTACCTGGTGTATGTCTAATCATGTTAGTGAGCGCCAAGTAGCCCCATTGCAGGAAATAGAATTATTTCCTCATAATTGCAGGAGAGTGAGAAAGAGCAGAAAATGATGCTTTTGTATCAAAGAAAGTCCAATTGAAATGACGGCAGGTAGCCCTGGCTGGTGTGGCTCAGTGGACTGAGTGCCAGCCTACAAACCAAAAGGTTGCAGCTTCAATTCCCTGTCAGGGCACGTGCCTGGGTTGCAGGCCAGCTCCCCATTTGGGGTCAAACAAGACACAATCAACTGATGTTTCTCTCCCTCTCTTTTACCCTACCTTCTTCTATCTCTGAAAACAAAAACAAAAAGAAAGAAAAAGAAATGATGGCAGGTAGTATGAATGAAACTTAGGTAAGAATCTGAGTGAACTGAGTCTTAAAGAAAATGAATCCTTTTATAAAGCACAGTGTAGAAGAGGCCCTTGAACTCAACAGTCAGTACCATATTCATATTTTAAGTTGAAGTTTTGGTTCAGCAAAATGCTATCTGTCACATAAAAGCAATGTTGTTCATTTAAATTGCATTTATTGATTTTTTTAGGGTTTTAGGTAATATGTTTTTAAAGTTTATAATATAATAATAAGCACAAGAAGTTTATACATATTATATATATATATATATACATTAGTACCAATAATAATATTATAATATAGTTAAACATGGCAAGGTCTTTTTTCCCTCAAAATGAACTTCAACATTAAGTTATTCTGTTAATATGTATATTACTTAAGTTTGAGAATCACTCACTTATTGTTTATATTCACTTAAAGATCTCACTGGTTCAGTTTGCTGCAATTCAATAGAGCATATCACCCACCCGGGGCCTCACCAAGTACTCATTGCTTAAAAGGAAGTACTTTTTCTCTCACCCCTTTTAACTCACCAACTTTATTATCAAATGATACAGTAAACAGTTTGATTGTCTTTATCACTGAAATTTCTTTATCCTGACCTCTACTTGTTGAGTACACTCATCTGTGTGTATATAATTGATGCCTCCCCTGAACTTGGAGAAAGGGGTGGGGAAAGTCAGAGGGTAGGATATTTTCATTTCTCCTTGCTATGATAACAACTTAACACAAATCTAAAGGCTTGAAAACAACACAAATTTATTATTTTATAGTTTGGGGGATTAGATACCCCAAATGAGTTTCACCGTTAATATCAGGTGTCAACAGAATTGCAGTCCTTCTGGGGGAGCTGAGAAAAATTCATCTCTTGCCTTTCGAAGCTTCCAGAGACTCCCCACACTCCTTGGTTTGCAGCCCCATACCCTTCTGACCTCTGCTTGAGTCCCCAAATCTGCTTTTCTGACTCTGACCCTTCTACCTCCCCCTTTTCTTTTTTTATAAGGATGCTTGTGATTCCATCGGGTCCATCCAGATAATTCTGGAAATCTCCCCATCTCAGTATCACCAAATCACATCTGCAAAGTCCCTTTCACCATGTAAAATAAGTAACCTATCACAGGTTCCTAGGATTAGGATCTGGAAGTTATTCAAGTGGCATTATTCTGCCTACCACAGGGGTATCGCAATGTCCAGCCAGTCCCAAGAGCAGAAACTTGGTGGAGGAATCCACTTTGGAGAAGTGTGGAAATACACTCTCCCAAAACAGACAACAAAGGGGGCTGGGCGTAGGGTTAAGAGAAGCATCTTTTGATGAGTGGGGAAGGAGGAGGTTCATCTTCTGAGGAATTGAAGAGCAGGTTGAGGGTTTAGAAAGGGTGGGAAAGACCTGGAAACACTGCTTAGGAAGGTGGGGAAGCCTCCAGCTAAAGATGAAAAAGCAACTGCTTCCCTGAGGGCTCATCTGAGATGTCAAGGCAGCGGCCTAAGGAGTGGCATCTGAGGTCACGCCAATGACCATGCCCATGATGATACTAAACCCACCACCAGGAGAGCTGCCTAAATCTGCGCTTTGTATTTTTCAAACAAACAGTGACATCAGAATTAAAGTAGCTGCACCCCCTCCTTGTTTTGCCATTGTTTTCCTACTTCCATGATTCGTGTAAGAAACCTGACACTAATTCGACTGGCATAAGAAGAGGAAAAAGGAGATGAATCATAGGCCACACTGGAAATAAACCAAGAACTAGGAAGACTGATCTTGGCCCCAAGTAACAGCAATGGTGAAAAACTGCACTGGCAAAGGGGCTATATACTGAGAGTTTAAATTTCTCAAAGTGCAAAACATGGAGTTTGCTAAGATCTACCAGCTGCTTCTCCTCTGTCAGATGTTTGCCTGGGAGACAACTACTGAGGCTGGGGCCCATTTCTCTCTTGCTGTGTCATACAGTGTTGCTCTCCCCTCCCCCTCCCGGCGCTCCTGCTGCCTGATGTGTGTGTGTGTATGTGTATTCAGTTTCTCTCTCCTTCGTAAGAACACAGCCGCCTGCCTTCGCCTGCTGCTGCTGCTGTTCTGACTAGCTTTTTGCTGCCTCTTTACCTCTCCTTTACTCTCTGCTTAGCTTCTAGTTTTCTGGTAAGTGTGACAAACACTCCCCCAAGCAGTGTAAGAAGATGTGGGGTGCGGTTTGTAGTGTTCAAAACTTGCAGCATTGAGATCGCCAGTGAACTGTTGAAGAACTTTCCATTGTTTTATTTATAATTAAAATGTGTTGCTCAGAAAGGGATGTGTGTGAGTGATAATCTGCCGGGACTGCTAGTTCAAGGAAAAAAATTGTCTCCCAGCGGAGGAAAAGGCAGGCAATAAAGTTTACAGAGGATAAAATTTAGAAATAATTTTTGTTGTAAAATTAATCTAGAATGAGAGGATCTAAAAGTCCCAGTTCTTTAACTGTTTTTTCTCCCCTTTGTTGATTTATCTTGAGGCTACTTTTAAGAATTGAGTCGTTCTGTGGTTTACAATGACTCAGTAATTCCATTTTAAAGTAAATGTGGTGCATGAAACTTAAAGGCTACCTGTGGGAGTAATATAAAAACATCAATGATTACTGTCTCTAATCAATGAAGAATAAAGTTAATATAAACAAAATGCTTGCATTTAGACTAGCCACACTAATACTCCTACAGAGAGTCAGTTCTAAATTCACTGCTTAGAAGTTTGGTTTAATCTAGATTTTTATAACATTCTAAGAAGACTTCCTAACACTTTAAAACCCACAAATGCATTTAAGCCAATAAATGTTTACTGTTTTTAGTTTGTATTAAAAAGTACTCTTTTCCCTTGATTTCCAAGGATAAAGTGCTAAATGCCATGGCTCCTTTTAGAAAAGCTTAAAATAGCTTCTGGCTGAACAGCAGGTGCTGTGTCTTTCTCCAAGTTCAGGGGAGGCATAGTTATATATAGATGAGTGTGCCCAACAAGTTGTGGTTGGGATAAAGACACTTCAGTGATGAAGACAAGGCAACTGCTCACTGTATCGTTAGATAATAGAGTTGGTGGATAAAATGAATCAGTGTGGGTTGTGGGGCTGGGTGGAAAATGTGCAGGGATTAAACAAAACAAAAAGACTCATAGACATAGACATCAGTATGGTGATTACCAAAAGAGGGGGTGGGAGGAGGTAGAAGGAGCAGGGGGATAAATGGTGATGAAAGGAGACTTGACTTGAGGTGGTGAACACAGAATACAATGCACACATGACATATCATAGAATTGTACACCTGAGACCTATATAATTTTATTAGCCAAGGTCATCCCAATAAATTCAATTTAAAAAAATTGTGAGAGGAAAGAGCACTCCCTTCTAAGTTAATGAGTACTTGGTGAGGGCCACAAGTGGGTGGCAATGTTTGTAAGTTGAATTTTCTTTTTTAAAAAATTTATTTAATTGTTGTTCAAGTACAGTTTTCTGTCTTTTACTCCCATCCCAGCCCATCCCCCCAGTGCTCCCCACCTCCCTCCCATTTCCACCCCCCTTAGTTGTTGTCCAGGTGTCCTCCAAACTAGTTCCTGCAAATCCTTCCCCTTTTCCCCTGAAATTCCTTCCCCTCTCCCCTCTGGTCACTGTCAGCCTGTTCTCTATTTCAGTGTCTTTGGTTATATTTTGCTTGCTTGTTTATTTTGTTGTTTAGCTTCCTGTTAAAGGTGAGAGCATATGGTATTTGTCTTTCACCACCTGGCTTATTTCACTCAGCATAATGCTTTCCAGTTCCATCCATGCTATTGCAAAGGGTAGGAGCTCCTTCTTTCTTTCTGCTGCATAGAATTCCATTGTGTGTATGTACCAAAGTTTTTGGATCCATTCATTTGCTGATGGGCACCTAGGTTGCTCCCAACTCTTGGCTATTGTAAATTGTGCTGCTATGAACATTGGGGTGCATAGGTTCTTTTGGATTGGTGTTTCAGGGTTCTTAGGATATAAATTAAAACCTTTTGCATGGCTAAAGAAAACAGTATTAAAATAAAAAGAGAACCAACAGTATGGGAAAACATACTTGCCAATGGTACCTCAGACAAGGGTTTAATCTCCAAAATATACAAAGAACTTACACAGCTCCACACTATGAAGACAAGCAACCCAATCAAAAAGCGGGCAAAGGACTTGAATAGGCACTTCTCCAAGGAGGACACACAGAGGATACAGAGTTACGTGAAAAGATGCTCAGTATCGCTAGCTATCAGAGAGATGCAAATTAAAACCACAATGAGATACCACTTTACACCAGTCAGAATGGCCATTGTAAACAAAGCAACCAACGAGTGTTAGAGAGGTTGTGGAGAAGAGGGAACCCTAATCCATTGTTGGTGGGATTGCAGCCTGGTACAACCACTGTGGAAAGCAGTATGGAATTTTCTTAGAAAACTAAAAATGGATCTGCCTTTTGACCTAGCAATTCCACTGCTAGGATTATATCCTAAGAACCCTGAAACACCAATCCAAAAGAACCTATGTTCGTTGAATTTTCTGATCTTGCTGGAGTTCAAGCATTTGACACCTGCTGCCCTGAGAATGGGAGGGGGGCCAGGAACAGAGCAGTGGGCCTCTGGTTTTGCTGTCGTGTCTCTGCAGCAGCTAAACCTGTGCATGATGAGCACCTTATCATTTGTTATCCTGATACTCAGCCACTTCACCGTTAAATATCATTTACAAATAGAATGCACCATAACTTAAAAACCAAAGCCAAACCTATTGTGGGCCTACCCATGGTGCTAGCCAGAAACCCTGGAATCTGTGATTTGGCTCATTCTTGGCCCCCTCTTTCCAAAGAACCCAAATTATATCTGGATTATTTCTCTAGTTAATTTCCTCCCTGTTCATTAAACATTGATGTTTCTCAAAAAGTATTAAGCTATCCTAGAGCTTCTGGAATGAAAAGAGAAAGTTGTAACCTGTTCTTATTCTCCAAAAGATAGTCAGTTTTTATATTAGAACAAAAAAGCATTAGAAAAATTTTAAAAATTTCTTAATTTACACCTTCTCTCATTATCTGTCTTATTCCAAAAATGATGCTAGTTTTACGTTCAAAAAAGGATTTTTATCTTTTGGGAAAAGGAAAATACCAGAAAAGATGCTCAGTATCACTAATATCAATATATATGTCCTAACCTGGCTGGTGTAGCTCTGTGGATTGAGCGCGGGCCTGCGAACCAGAGTATCGCGGTTCAATTCCCAGTCAGGGCACATGCCTGGGTTGTGGGCCAGTTCCCAGCAGGGGACACACCAGAGGCAACCATACCTTGATATTTCTCTCCCTCTCTCCTTCCCTTACCCTCTAAAGATAAATAAATAAAATCTTTTATATATATATATATATATATATATATATATATATATCCTATATCCAGTATAAGAATTCATTTATGTCAATATACTCTTATTAACCAAAATTCATTTACAGATTAAAATAGTTAAGAAATATTATTGTTATAAAGGATTTTAGTAAGTTCAGTGGCTCTAATATTAAATATTTTAACTTTGAAAAATAATACCATTTAGAATGTAAATATTTTAAATGTATACATCCATGTACTTCCAATAATTGTAAATCTACGTAGTATTTAAGAGAATGGTTATACAAATTGGCTATTCTAAACAAAATGATAAATACAGCCATGAAAAACAACATCTTGAATTACTCTGTTAATATCAATAATAGAAGATACTAGTGGAATTTAAAGACCGAAACCCAAAATCTGCTAATCACATGACCCGATTTGGAAAAATGGCTTCCCTCTATTTCTACCTATCCAACTGCAATATTGATGGTTTGTGGAAGTACAAAGTATACTCACTCTGTGTGAGAAACTGTAATCAGCAGGTGCTCATTTGGGGATACCCTTATCATTGACATGTAACTGGGTTAACTACAGAAAGTCCGTCTGTGCTTGCCACTAGGTACCGCTCCCAGGATGGAGGCTAACCACTCTGTACAGCTCTCGGGAGAACCACAGTCCGTGCCTCCGGGGGACAGTTCATCACCACCCAGTCTAAATGGCCTGGAGAAGCAAGGGCATCGAGACTCCTCATCCCCACTCCAAGCACCACTGAAGGAGGCAGAGGTGAAACCTGAATCAGGGGCTCATGACATCTCCGAAGAGTTGAACAGACAGCTGGAAGCCATCATTAACACGTATGGGCCTGCTGCCCACGCCGCAGGCAGAGAGAGCTCCACCACGGAGCAGCCTGAGAACGCAGAACCCGCTGATCAGGAGGACGCGGACTGTGAGGAAGCCGCTGAAGAGGCCGAGAGAGAACCCATCACTTCTGGAGAGCCACCTACAGCCAAAGAGCCTGTCAGCAATAAAGAGCAAAAATTGGAAAAGAAATTTCTAAAAGGATTAGGCAAGTAGTTGTATTCTATATTATGATTTTTCTTTGAATGAGTTTAAAACAAAGGGGCTCTTCCTCCAACCTTTACTAAAGACACAGCTCATATTTGGATTACTGCAACAGCTTCCTTCAGGGTTTCCCTACACGTTCTCGCTGTACTTGTCCCTAGCTGCTTTCCCTCAACGGAGCTAACGTGAACTTTCCACAGGTGACCCACTTCCCCTCTGCCCTCAGTGGCTTCCCATTTTCTTAGAACAAAGATCAGAACTCTCAACAGTCTTTCAGGCACTAATGGTCTATCCCAAACCACTCTTTCTAGCTTTATCACACACCACTCTGCCCTACAACATCCCCCTCCTGAACACTCTGTCCCGATCACCACCACCGCTACTGCTGCCTAATGACTAGTCATTCTGATCTCTTTCAGTTCTTGAAACCTGCCTCAGGGCCTGCGTACATCCCATTTTCTCTCCCTCGATGTGCCCACCCATTCCCCCAGTTCAGACGTTTGATTCCTTATCTCATCATTTAGCTCACAACTCAAATGGCATTTTTCTTAACCCAACTATAGATAAAGTCTTACTGTTCTCTGTTTCTGTTGGTACTATATATCTTTCCTTCCTAGCATACATCAGCATTTAAGAATGTGCACTTATTTTGTGACTATTTGGTTAATAAGTATCTTCCCCACTAGCTCTTTTTTCAAGGGCAGGAACTGTGTATACATTGGACGTCATCAGAGGCCTGGTGTGTAGGACAGTAGGTGGCACATGGTAGGTGCTCAGTAAATATTTGTTGTAAAGACAAATGGCTGAATAACAGGAAAATTATTGAAAGCAAAGCTAGTGGAATTTGGGTTTAAACAAAATGTGAGTGTTGGGGTTGTTTTGTACATGTGAAATGGTTGTCAGTTGGATCACTTAGTAATATGTCCCATTACTATATAAACTATTTTTTATTTAACAAAGTTCTTCAGAAATGTGTCCATTTCAGAATGTCAACAATTGCAGAAAATACTCTTACTCTCATTATTCCATTGGTTCAGCAAATACTTATTAATGTCTAGTCTTTATGAGGCTCTGTGCTAAGTGCACAAAGATAAATTAGTGGCCAAGGCCTTTTAGTCAAGGAGCTCTTGGTATAGAGAAAAACCGACATGTAAACTAATTATTACATAAGCTACGCGCTAGAACAGGCACAGGAAAATTGTTGGGAGAGACATGAGGGACACCAAAAATGGCTGTGAGAGAGAGGTGAGAGAATTATTGTTTTAGCTACAAATGAGAGTGTGTTACTTTGCATATGAACGTCCCTCTGCCTGTGTTCTTTGGTGAATTTCACTGAAACACTCACTACCAACACCAGCTCCTAGGTGATTCATTCCCTGACATGCCTAGGTAGAGTCTGCATCACCTTCCTTAGTGTTTTATTAAATTTCCTGCAGCAAACATTTGTTTACATATCTGCATCCCATGCTGGATGGAGAATCTATCAAGGGCAGTGTCCATATCTTACTTGTTTCTAAAGACAACAAGGCAGAGTGAAAGATTGTGAGTGTTAGAATCAGAACTGGGTTCAGACTTTAGTAACAGATTATCTGTAAACCCAAAAGTATGTCTGTGCTGACACAAGACATCACGATGATGCTTAAAATCCATTCATTGCTGGCAATGTTTCAAGAAGGGCTAAAAGACACATTCAAATAGCCTAGTTGACTCACCCAGCAAAAAGATCTAGTTGCAGCATGCAAGATTGGAATTACTCTAGTGTTTTAGCACTTTGGGAAGGTGAATAAAGTTGATCTGTGTTACAGGAACTATTTTTCCTTCTCATTCCAAGGCACCTCCAAAGGGTCCCTTAACAAAAACTTCCCATAAGACAATACAGAATCACATGCAGAGGTGAATGATTTCAAGTGCTTCCAACCAAGAAAGTCCCTTTGCTTTATCACTCTAAAACCACGTCTGCACAGGAATTTGTATGAGTTGTACTGAGAGGATGGATATGAAGAAAGTAGAATTAAAGTTAAAGATGGCCAAGTCTGGTTTCTATTCTGTTTATGAATTATTTCAAGATCTGCATGAACCTCTTAATTTTTAAAATTCAAGAAAAAATTCCACAACTCTAATTCTGCCACTCTCCACAAATTGCCAAATTTTGATGGAACGTGTTTGGTCAGAACCAATATCTGTGAGTTGGACTGCACAGGTGGGTCCACTCTAATGATCCGTGCCCACGCTACTGACCCTCCCATGCCGCCCCTCTGAATACCATTTATGTTCTTCTAACCACTGTGCTATTCCAGGTACAACAGCAGTTAAAGCAACATTTAAGGCTAATCTAAATATCTAACCACCATTTTAAATATTATTTTAGTTGTCTACAAGTGATTTTAATAGGCTTCTTGGCCATTTTTCAATTAAATGGCCCTGCACTATTATCTAAATCAGTGGTTTTCCAACTTAACTAAGCATTGGAATCGAATACATAATTCATCAAAAATGCTGCTTCTTAGCACAGAGATTCAGAATTGGTAGGTATTGATTTGAGCCAAGGCAGCCTGGGTAATTCTGACACAAATGGTATAAGCAATGGTCCCAGTGCTTCTAAGAAGTGTTTCCTCTACCTTTAGCAGAAAATAGAAAGTGCCAGCTGTGATCGTCTTTTAAAATCTACCTGGACCTTCTACAGAATTGTGTTAAGTCATTCTACCCATGCCCAAAAATATATCCTTAGATTCCACTTACATATTTGATCACAGATGAGTTTTTAGTTATTGCATATTTATCAGAAATTTTTCACTTTATTGGTATGTTTAAGATGCTGAAATGTTCTGACTCTCTAGCCCAAAACTTTTCAACTTTTTGGGATATTTGAGATTTCAGACCAAGTTACAATTATCCTACTGCCAGAATTCTCTGACCTTTAATATACAGCAAAGATTTCCAGTAGTGATGGGCATGGTTTACAGCATTTCCTAAACTTATTGGACCAAAATACCCTTCTTTCACAGAACACCTCTGCATATTTAGAAAATGTCTCTGCAGCCCAGGCACCCGGGACTTTTTTCCTGTAGGGGCTGCAAATCCTCCCACAGCCAACACACTGTCCCTTCAGTGGGCAGAGCCACAGTCTATCTCTTCAGTGTGCACTTCCTCCCTGGCATCTGAAGTGAGAGGGACAAAAACAGATGCCCTGTTGGAGGGCACGGCGACGTGTCCTGTTAACATCTCACGTGCCCCCTTGCTTCCCTCACTCCATCTTGCAGGCTCACAAGTGATTTACTAATCATTCCTCTGCTAATATTATCTGGGCTGTACAAGATCTACATGGTAATAAGCACAAAACTGACAAAATATAATATACTTTCTGATATTTAGGTTGATAACCGATTGAGTAGGAAATCAGTTTGAAGCAAAAGCCCAAGAGAAAACAGAGCTGATCCACAGGCCCATTCTGAGCTCAGGATCCATTTAGTCAAACCACTTACTATAGATAGGGAAACTGAGAGTTGGGGTTTGTTCTTTAATTTTTTTCCTTTTATTAATTCTAGAGAGAGGGAAAGGGAGGAAGAGAGGGAGAGAAATATCAATGTGGGAGAGAAACATCGATTAGCTGCCTCTTGCATGTGTCCCAACTGGGCTTGTTCCATGACTGGGAATCAAACCTATGACCTTCTGGTTTGCAGGAAGATGTTCCAACTGACTGAGCCACACTAGTCAGGGTGAAGCCTAGAGGGTTTTGAGTTTTAAAGACTGAAAAAAAATGTTATTCAGTTAGTTGATGTGATTGTAAGATTAGTCATAATGAAAACAAGGGGAAAATCCGCAGTCATTAATGTTGCAGAACCAAATATATACATAAATAAAAATAATCAGTATATTAGTTGAGAAGCATTTACTTAGCTCTCTTAATGTGTTTCATTTTTCTACTTCAAGAGAGTTTTGGCTCTACCTTCTGAAGGGCACCTTGAGCAGGACATTGGGATTCTGAAATGTCTTTAGCCATTTACTCACTTTGCCTTAGAAGAATCACTTTCCCGGTGGTCTGTTTCATCCATTTTACTTTGATTTCTGGTTTCACTGTGAGAGGGAAATAAACTGCTGCTAAACAAGTGCTAGATTTTCTGGAAAATATGGTAGGAGACCAGATACATTCATGCAGACGAAGAATCAGCCAAGACTAAAAGGTTCATGAGTAGGTTCATAGGGATGCTAAAATATGGGCCAGATTCTAAAATGAGAAGAGGGTTTAGAGAAGTAGGTGGAAGGAGAGAGAAAAATATGTCTCAAGCAAAATAATTTGTACTCCCTTCTGAGCCGAATTGGGAAAGGATATATTCATTTCTTACTGCTTTTCTAATGTGTTTCTTTTTTTATTAAAATCTTGGCTTTATTTTATTTTTCCTGGAATAATCTCCCCACTATGACTCTTAAAGATTTTCTTTCTTTTTAAGAAATTTGTCTTTATAGTTACAGCCAAGAAATTATTAGTAGTTTAAACACATCATCAACCAACCTAATAAGAAGTCCAGGTCCACTGCCCAAATGAGTAAGAAGCCAAAGTTCCAATTACATATAATAAGGCCACTAAAATACAAGAGAAATAAAATGTCAGCTGAATGGAAAACTATGTGACTAGAATATACAGGGAAGGTCGTATTTTCAAAACTGATGTAGTTAATAAAACCAATGAAAGCACACAAAAACCATGACTATGAGAGGTGACAGTGAGGAGTGAGAGAATCTTTATAAATTTTAAAAGTGGACCAAAGCATTTGAGATAAACACATATGCCAGCCAAACAATGTTGTTTTTATCTAAGCTAAAAATAGTTAAAGCTATTTCAGGAATCAAAATCTTAGAGGCTGAACTCAGAATTCATTTAGCCAACCCACTAATTTTATACACAGAAAAAATGAGATCCAGTGAGTTTAAGAATCAGTAAAAGAAGTTCTTCAACTGGAATTAACTATGCAGTCGGTTCTGGAACCCAGGCCCCCAACTGGAGCCCAGTGTTAATTTTGCTCTACTGTCCTTCCTATCTACATACCTATGTTATATACATATTTCCCTTAAAAGATATCTATAGGTTCTCAGGAATTAGTTGTATTAAACTCGTTATCTTTAAATTATATTAGAGCAAAAAGAAAGTTAATACTGAAATATGGTTCTGGGTCTAACATTCTGGGAAAAGAACATTCAAAGTCTTTTCCTGCTTTCAGCTTTTCCCACCACTCTTAGAAATCGGGGAGGGGGAAGATAGATGCACAGGCATACCCAAGGCCATGTTTTAGCCCCGAAGTTCTAAAAAATCATTTTGAAAAAAAAGTATAGTTTTGAACACTCATTAAATCTATATAATTTGTCACCAAACTTTACATAGTCATCGCTACGCTAAAAGTTCAAGAAAAATCCCAGTCAACACGTCTGGGATTCATTGTCTTACTTTAAAGTTTTCAGTTTCTTTGAAGTAGAAATAATACTTTTGCATTTCAATGCTCCTTCAGTCTACAACAGTGCTAATAGCCACAGTCATATGTGACATGGTTGTTCTCTCTACATGGGTGGGTCTACTTTCGTGTAGACTTACAGGCAAACTGAGCTTTATGCGGAGTGGTGGCCATATGCCACCGTGTACCTTGCCCAGCTTTAATGAGGACTTCAGGTCTACCCCTTGCTTTCTTAATGACTAAACTCACAATCACGTTGCTTTAGAATTGACACGTTGGGAATAAGGCAGATCACCCCCTCTCAACAGATGTCCCTGAGTAGAGGAATTTTTCCTTTTGTGTCCAACACTGTCACCAAATGATATTTTTATGGGACTATAATTACAGCCTTTCTTAGAAGATGAGAAAATCTCTCTGTCTCTTTTGCTGCTCTACGATAATCCTACACACCACTCCAGTCTAGCAAAATCAATGAAAGTTTAGAAACTAAGTTCCTCGGTGTCACAAATTTATGAATTCTGTACATGCCTGTTTCCAATTTCTTGGACTTTTTTTGTTGACAGGAGAAGTCATTTTTGAAGGATAGTTGATGCTTCTGAGTGTTAATCTTCTATACAAAGTAACAGCATATGAGAAGAGAACTCAGTGAGTGCAATGATAAAAAAAAAACCTTCTCTTAGTTAAAGAAAAAAGTAGAAAATATACTTAATGTGGGGTGAAAGGAGAGCCATTGGACTCGCTCAGGTGTTTCTCTCCCACACAAATGAGACATGTAATGGTTTTGTGTGTCAGTGTTCATCCCGGGAGGTATCCAAGCATCCACTAAATGTCACAGGTGACAGACCTATTTTCCCTCTAGCCAACTACACAGTTGTCTTCAAGACTCTCCATTTGATTGACATGATGCTAGTGTGTACTGGTTGGCTCTGTTTTGTTCCATCATTACCAACATTGACTGAGCACTTATCACAGGCCAAACACTGTACTGGATCCTGGACCTAATCTGACAGTAGTACAGTGTCTTACCTTTAACAGATGACACTAACGCAGGACAGCAGTCTTCACGTGGGCACCTTCCACAGACTAAAGACAAGTGTGAAGGGATGGCCTGGCCAGCACCATGCAAATTCATCCCTATGCTAGAGAAATAACTCAAGCCCAGGCACGGTGGGGGTGGAGCAGCACTGGCTATCACTTTAAAGGTAGCATGTTATGCCAGGCCGCAACTGGAGAGCGAGTGGGGTACCCCTCATGCCTACCTTCTCCCATTCAAGGCCATGTCTCTAATGGGAACTAACTCACTGGGCAAAGATGGACAAAACCAGCTGTTAGAGATGAAGTCATTTTTTTTCCCCAAAAAAACACTTTCCTTTTATTTCTCTTGGTTTCCCTGGCATCAAAATTCCACATGGGAGAGAAGTGATTTAGCGCAAGTAGACAAACTTTGGATTCAAGCCTTGGCTCTGCCAGCACTAATCATGTAACTCTGGACTCTCTGGGCCTAAGGTTCTTATCTGTAAAATTACCCAGTTGTCTGTGCGCCTTTGAAGTTCTTTCTAGATCTAAAGTGTTTTGAAGCCATTGGAGCCACCAGATTTAGCAAATAAAAACAAAGGATACCCAGGAAATTTTTAATTTAAGATAAACAATACATACATTTTTTAGAACAACTATATCCCATGTCCTGTTGTTTATCTAGCAATCCTAATTCCATGATTTATCTGCCTATCCAAGATGAAAGCAAAAATGTCAACAAACAGGAAATGCCTGTTCTTGAAGGAAGATTGTCAAAGTTGTTAATATCCTTGTGCAGATTTATGCCGGGAAACTTGGGCTCCACTGTGCAGTTTGACCTCCCCACTCTCATTAGACAGAGTGGCTGTCCGTCCTATCCACGCTGATCGGACTTTTGAAAAGATAGGCTCATGGTACAGGTAGGCTTCCGGGTCCCTTTCCTCCCTCCCAGCACTCAGCCCAGTGGCCACTAAAAGACAAGATTTCTGGGCACCACAGAAAGGCAGATTGAGCACTTTGAGCCTAAGAAGACAAAAGGAAGAATAATGAGGGGGGAAAAAGAAAGAATCTGAGGCTTACCATCAAATAATCACGAACAGATGAGTTCTTAAACGTAGCATAAACTCCAACTGGGAACAGAAATGCAACTGCCAACAGAGATTAAGGCCTGGGCAGGAGAAGGGGAGGCCCAGGAAGGCCAAACTTGTAACCACAGAGACACACGAAGGCCTGGACAAGACCCTGTAGGCCATGGTTCCATTTTCTCTATTTATTGATTTTATTCTCTGCTTGGTAGGATATGTGATCAGAGTTATTCCCACCTAAAACTCATGGAATGGGCTTATACACAGAAACAAGAGAATTGGTTCCCCCCCCCCAAAAAAAAGAGGAAAGAGGTATTAAAAGAACAGCAACACCCAAAAAAAATTTTCCCTAAAATAAAAAGGACAGACCAAACTGTCAGGTTTCTCTGCTTCTAGCTGGAGTTACAGCAACTCCATGTATCAGTGGTAGCTGTTTCATAGTGGTCAGAAACTTTGATGGACTGCTTGGCGACTTAAAAAAAATTAATCAAGATGGGAAAATGGCTGATTTATTCTTTCAAAAAGTCAGTGTTTTTGATTCCTTTGAATATTTTCAAAATATTTACAATTCTTTTGAATATTTAGACTATGGGGAGGAGAGTAACAGGAATGGGTTCTTGAGAACTACTGTTATACTGAGAATCTACCATGAGCCTGAGACTGTGCCACTCTTTCATGAACTTCTCAATGAACCCCCACTTACTCTGCAAGGTGGGTACCATCCCTTCTTACAGGAAAAGAAAATTATATCTGAGGCTCAGATAGGTTAGGTGGCTTAGTCAGGGGTGGGTAGGAACTAGCCAATGGACAATCTGAGAGATTCCAGCCTGTGTCATCTGACTTCAAGTTCAACACTTTCTTTTAAAAATGTCCTCACCGTTTTTGTTTTCTTTTAAGGCAAAGAAGCCAACCTGCTAATGCAAAATCTTAACAAGTTGCAAACACCTGAAGAAAAGCTTGATTTTTTATTCAAGAAGTATGCTGAATTGGTAAGATCTTTGATTCTCTCTTTTTGTCAGAAAGTTTCAGGCTCTGGTTAGAGCTGAAAAAGGAGGCTCTTAGTTTTTTGGGAACATCATTATAGATCATGACTGGTTAGCTCAGACAAGCCAAAGCTAGAATTCATAAAAGCAGAATTTTTTAAAGGAAAAAGAAACAGAAAAACTGAATAACAGCAGAAGGGGGAAAGAGGATAGTGTTGGTGTCTACTCCACCTTCGAGCATGGGTATAATTTGGCAGATAGAAGAGAGAATTATACATAGTTGAAAACTCTGGATATTTTTAAATTCCTTTTGTCTTTGCAATAGAACAGATATACACTCAACATAAACTTTCACTCCATTGCGTGCCCAGGTTTTGGAGGGGTCCCCTCAGGAAGGCAAAGGGCTGAGTTCATCTCTCTCCCTCAGTTTGTGATTCATTCTAATTGGGTCTTGATGACTTTTAGTTAGTTATTCATTCAGTTATTCTTTTTAATCTACACCTCTTCCTCTCCCTGACATGGCAAAGTGTTTGAAGTGGATTGTATTGTGCCCGGTTCTGGGTCTTCCCATTCAGTCTTCCCTTTCAATAAGTCAGGGCTGCCAGGAGGAAGGGGAGCCACTCCCAGGCATCAGAGAACGCACGATGTGCACTGTTTCCTCATCAGTGGGCAAGCTGGAAGAAAGGGGGCATTCCGTGAAGCCAGCATGTCTGGTTTCAATGAACCCTCACAAACACTTGCTACAGGAGTGACATCAGAAGTCTGTGTACTACCCTGGGCTGTGTGAAGCCCACACTGAGAGGTGGCATCCTCTCAAGTGAAGCGAGGCAATGTGCTTCTCTCTGATTTCTGCTTATTTTCTTTAAAAAATTAATTTACTTCTTTTAGAGAAGCAGTGACAGAATGAAAGTTATGTCCACACAGAGCTGACCAATTCCTGCAGGCAGGAGGTTGGCCTGCATCCATGGGTAAATTTACCTGGAAGCCAAAGGAAAGGAAGTAGAGTCAGGCCTCTCACTGCCATGGCCCCTCAGAAGCCCTGGATATACTTCTCTTTTCTCAATTTTGTTGCTTTTTATTATTTTTTTTATTTTTAAAAGAGGGCCTCCAAAACTGAATAAGCTTCAGGCCCACAAACTCCTCAGGTCCCCAGTTACATTTTATCCCTGTCGATGGAGTAGAATTTAATGAGTGACTGGTTTTCCTTCCCTTTCACTCTAACTACAGTCTTATAATCTGTTTGGTTTTTTTCTTTTGTTTATCTCGATGCATCCTGCTATACTAAACCGTCTATTCAGTAGACCCACAGAAATTAGGAAACCCCGTGACCACCCGATCTCCTCACTCTGGCAACAATACTTTTAAATTATTTTTTATTATATTAACCACATCACGATGATATAAGAAAAATACTGAATACGCAGTGCAAGGAAAAATTTCTCTAATCCCATAATCTAAAATACAAACTTTATCTTGTCCATCTTCCTTTCAAGTTCTGCTATATATGCAGTGATACCATTTATTATAATTACCATCACGAGGTACATATGCAGCTGACCCTAGAGCAACACAGGGTTTAGGGCCCCGACCCCCTTCACAGTTAAAAATCTGAAAACAACTTACTTGCCAAAAGACAACTGCTACCAGCCTACTGTGGACCAGAAGCCTTACCAATAACCAACAGTCAGTAAACACACATTTTGATATGTTATATATATGTCTATGTGTGTGTATGTATTACTATATTCTTACACTAATATAAGCTGAAAAATGTAATTAAAAACTCATAAGGGTAAGAAAATACATTTACAGAATTATACATATGTATTGAAAAAAAATCCATGTATAAGTGGAACCACCCAATTCAAATCCATGTTGTTCAAGGGTCAGCTGTAATTTAGACTCTTGTATTTTGGCTCATAGAGCAGATATTTTCCCACACAGTTTATAAGTCATCATAATATTTTGTAAAAGGGTTGTCATTTTCTATTAAATGGATGTATCTGCTGGTTCTCCTCTAATTTGGGGACTTTTTTTTAAGATCCCTTCCACTGCTTGCTGCAGTGAACATCATCAGGCATGTGATTTGCTCCTGCTCACTCTTTTTTATGGTATTAGGGGAAAGTTCCAGGATTGGGATCATTAGACCAAACATTATGAATGCCTATTTTATGGCCATACTGCTTTCCAAAAGAATGGTAGAAATTTATAAAGCAAGTATCAGTGTATCGTATATTGCAACTCATTGAACTTTGGCTATTAACCATCTATGAACAATTTCAATGCCATAAAATAAGTTAGGTGTCAAAAATAGTATTTTTCAAAAGTATATGGCTCCTTTTCTCATCTGTCCAACCTGCTCTTTTGAATACTTTCCATATCATTTCCCCTTTGCCCCTTCAATGTACCTATTCATACTAAAGCCATTCATGTTTAGTGTCTAACACCATGCGCCGTGGTTGGCTGGACTGGGCATCACTCTAGACTCACTCAGGAAGCCATTCATGGGACTGCAGCCCCACAGCAATACATGGAAAAAGAATCACTTCTCCACTCTGCTCACCTGGTCTCAGGGAGCTCCCTGCACCTATTTACCCACCTACTCAAGCAGTCATCCCACAGAAGTCCTTTTTCCAAGGATCCTACTGAGTTCAAGCCGTACTTACTAAACTTTGACATGTGTATCATGCCTAGTAATAAACTTTAAAGCCCCAATGATCATTCTATTTTTTTAAAAGAAAATTCACCAAAAAAAAAACCCATTTCATGTCCTTTTCAGACAGAAAATGTTATGAGAAATTTCAGTCTTTTACTTGGAGACAAAAACTTATTTCCCTGCTCACTGATTTGAATATTAATATAGAAACTGTCTGGAATATGTGTTAGCACAGAATAAATCATCAAATTCAAAGCTGTGAATCAGACTGCCTCTCCAGCTTACTTGTCCTTACATATTCAGAGTTTTGCAGTATTACCTACTATAGTATTCATTAATAAATAAGGATACATTCATTAATAAATAAGAATACCTCATAACTAAATTAAGAAATGAGCTAGGAGATATATTTTTTTGCAAATGTCCTCAATTTTAATGTAGTTACGACAACATCACTAATACTATTCTAATTTAGTTCTTGGGACTAATGTTGCTTCTTTAACTTCTTAGTACAAAAGAGAGAGCAAGAGAACTTGTAGATAAAAACCCTATATGCCTTTTACAATGGTACAGAACTGTGTCTAAGTGCATTATTAAATCACAAAGCCAGCATCTGTCTGAAGTTGACTCGAATGCAATATGTTTGTTTTCATTCATTAAGAAACCCCATATGCATTCACAGAAGTCTGAAGTAATTATACAAAATTAGCCATGCTCTAAAATAAGAAATTATCAGAGAGTTGGGGGTTTTTATTTAGAGCACAGCAAGACAGACCTAGCTAAATTTCAGATGTGTGTGATCTTGTGTAAACTGCAACATTAAATGGTTGATGAGCAAGATTATCGCTCTTCCAACTGATGAGATACATGTACCATCTCCTCCTCCTGATGCTCAGATACATCAGATGGGGCACCATTCCTCCAAAGGGGGTGGTTTTTCCTACCATGAGACAACAGGCAGAATCTATCTGGAGATATTTTGGATGTCACAATTGGGAGATGGGGAGGTGCTACCAGAGTCTACTGGGTAGGGGTCAGGACTGTTGCTAAACAGCCTCCAGTGCACAGAACAGCCCCACAACAAAAAATCATGTGTCCCAAAAGTCAATAGTGCTAAGGCTGAGAACCCCTGACATATGGTTTAATCTTCAAAAAGCAATGTCTAAACCGTAAAGGCAATAACCATAACAACATATACATTTCAAGAAAAGACAATAGGTCTATCAAGTCTAAACATAACAATGAGATGTTCCAGCCCTATCCAGGAAACATGTACAAAATGGAAGGCCCTTGTGTATCCTAGGAACAGAAGGTGAGCATGAAAAGCATATAAGAAAATATCCCTGGCTTTCCAGTTGAACATCAAGAAGGCTATCAACTTTAATCAATATTTATAGTAATGTGGACCTAGTCTTTCCTGATGCCAATTCTCACTAATAATTAAAAATTACCCACAAATATGAAGGTAGGGTATCAGGTATGAATATCCCCAGCTGGATGTGGCAAGGGTTGACCACAGACATTTCAGCGCAGCAGGAGTAAAGTAATTTGTGAGCTGAAGAAAGCGTGGCAGTCCTGTTCATAGAAGGAACACATGCCTCTTCGGGACGGGGTCATGGAGACACACATCAGGACTCATGTCCTGTGTGTCCATTTGCCTCAGACTCTGTGAGGCACCAGGAATAACTATGGCCTGAAACATAGGGGGGCTTCCCGGGGCTTTCCTCTTCATTAGCCAACAAGGTCATTGTTATGACAAGTACGTACCTGGCTTACCCACCAGTCAGGCAATAGGACTGAGCCCAGCAGAGGAGATGACTCTGAACAAAGGGCTGTCACTTCCATGTACCACACTGTCAGATTGTGATCCATACCCCTTGTGTGCTGGTCTCTGGTGGCTGCTGAAGGTTGATCCCCAAGCTGCCCCGACCCACCTAAAATTTCATTAAAATGTTGCCAAATTTTGCAAATATGAAATGCCTGGTTAACCTCTCATTTCAGGTGAACAAACAACAAATTAAGTAAAAGTATGTCTCATACAATACTTTGAGTATACCTTTACTGAAAAATTAATCTTTATTTATTTGAAACTCAAATTTAACTGGTTCTACGTTCTCTCTGGAAATCCTACCCCAGAACTCTAGCACCCTGACATGGGAAGTCCGGGGGTACCCTGGTTCCACGTTCCATGCTGTCCCTGACACGACTTCAGTTATGAAGTCAGTTCTCGCACTCTTCAGTTCCGCTGCTGGAAGAGGGTGAGAAGTCCCACCTGTGCCCAGCAGAAACAACCCTCAGGACTTACTCAGCACAAGCATGAAGGGTGTGCCAGTAGGCAGAGAGCAGGGCATGTTACAGACACTAGACATGTGCCCTTACGTTGTGCAATGGCTGTTTTGGAAACTTTGGTGACGAATAGTCAATGCTTAGGTAGTTGAGGGGCGCTCTCTCTTCCCCCCCTCTCACAACCCACTGACTTATCTTCTATTTACCAGGAGGCTGCTTTTCTCTTTCCAACTTTCAAAAATAGTTGTGATAAGCTTATTTTGAGAAAGAATATTGAAAACTAAAGGTAAACCAAGCAGACACACTGTTGACCACTGCCTTGGCACAAGGCATTAATAATACGGCTTCTGGAAGTTTACAAGGCATGAGTCGTGCCTTTCTAATGCTGATTGGCACTATTAGAGAGACTGAAGGAGCTAAAGCTACATTCTAGACCATGAAAAGGAAGATAAAAGTAAGAAGAGAGCAATAACAATGACGATGGTAAAGAAAAACCTGTAAACGTTGCGCTGTGAAAACTGTGTCTGCCAGTACTACAAAGGTAGCACTGAGGAGGTTCATTGGATTCCAGAGGGACACTGACAAGAGCAAAGAACACGCTCCCAAACCAGAGTAATCCTTAAGCATTTCCCCATTTGTTCCTTTTTTATCGACTCAGAAGAGATTTCTGCCATTTTCTTTCCCATTTGTGTGTTCCTGTCTAGCTGGATGAACATCGCACTGAGCAAAAGACCTTAAAGCTCCTACAAAAGAAGCAGGGTCAGATCCAAAAAGAAAAGGACCAGTTACAAAGTGAACACAGCAGGGCTGTCCTTGCTCGAAGCAAACTGGAGAGTCTGTGTCGGGAGCTACAGAGACACAACAAGACACTGAAGGTATGTGTCCCCGTGGCCCGCACAACACATCTTCTTGCACACAGCACAGACACAGGCCTCTGGCACTTGTGGGAAGGGCATGAGTTTCGGAATCAGAGAGCCTTGGGTTCAAATATTAGCCCTGCCACTTGCTTATTTGTGACCTTCGATAAATTATTTTACCTCCCCAAGCCTGCTTCCTCACCCATAAAATGGGGCTTATGCTAATTTCATTGTGTAGTTGGAAAAAACTTAAATGAAGGCACATACATACAAGGCCTATGTTGTATCTGACACAGAATGGGCCCTTAGTGAAATGTGAGCCATTCCCCTTACCTTCTGCTTATGTGGAACTTGTTTAGTTTTGTTTTTTAAGGTAGGCCTTCATTCTACTCTTTGAAATACACATTTGTAAAAAGGCAGCATTTTTTATATGATAATGAAATAAATTGACACAAAGCTAGCTGACACCGGAAAGCAAAATGGAGAGCCAAAATGTCAATAGTCATTTGAAAACAGCAGCTGCTTGAGAAAACACTGAAGTTCTTCAGACTTAATTATTCAATCTAAGAATAATAGACTGACCACTTCATCCAGCCTGCATGGGTTTCATTAATTACAGTGTGAGCCTCCAGTTGTGTGGTTAATTTGATTACACACAGACGCCAGCTCCATTCAATGAAGCAAGATGCAGGGCTCTCTCAGATAATACTGCTTGCATGCACAATCCCCTTTCCAGCTGAAGATCCTGAAGCTTTTGACAAATAAGAATTAATTAGACACCAGTATTCCTGGGAGAGAGTTGTTATTAGATGTGTTTAAGAGGAAATAGTTAAAAAAACAGAGAGATTAAGATCATTGCTGAGTTTGTACAATTAGGAAAAAGTAGAAGAGGATAATATCTCCTTGTGTTCAAAAATTGCCTTTTAATATCTGGGAAGTGGGAGTCCAGTGTGATGAACTTGAACTCTAACTCTCAAATTATGAGTTGTAGGAGATGGGCCTCTGGCATCTCTTCGATCATCGCTCTCAGCACTATCAAAACCCAGTTTAGATGGGGGCCCGGGAAGGGAAGCATCATTCCCAACTCAAGATGTGTTTGAATAATAACACTATGCATTGACATAAATCTCCTGGCTCTCACAGCTCCATAATAAGGAGATAAATTAAATCTGATGTAGTGGGAAGACTTATCCACAAAGAGATGGAAAGAGTGGAATAATGTGCCGTGTTCTGTTTGGGTGGCAATCAAAGACTCAATGACGGGAATGGCGGGGGCTGTGGGTGTACACACACCCACAGGAATGGCTTCCGGTTGCGGGCAATGAAATCTAGTGCGGCTGTTATGCCAGGATTTGTGCTAGGTGCACTCCGTGTGTTATTTTATTTAACCTTCACAGCAGCCTTATGAAGGTTAACATCTCCATTTTATTGAAGAAACTGAGACTCAGCAATCCAAATTAGTTGTCCAAGGTCATGCATATTTTAAGTGACAACATCAGGGTTAAAATTTAAAAAATATTTCTTAACTGCTGATTTTTGGTCTGGTCCATGGATTTTTTAGAAGTCTTCATTTTTATAGCCCATGATGTATATACCATATGCACTTGGAAAAAATCTCAGTTCAGCTGTTTGGTATATGTTGCATAAGTAATGTAACAATTAGCTCTAGATGATTTATATGCTTACTGAAGTTTTGTCTAGCTATTCCATCAGTTTTTGAGAAATGGATGTTTAAAATCTCCTAATATAACTGTGGAATTATCTACTTCTTTTAATTATGTCCATTTCTGCTTTATGTATTCTGAAGTACTAATATAATGTATATACATAGTTATGATCATGCCTCCTTGATAACTTGACTGTTTTATCCCAATAAGATGGCCTTCAGGAATAATCTTTATCCTAATGTTTATACTATGTGATATCAATATAGCCACTCAAGTTTTCTTATTCTTATTGTTTGCATGGTATATCTCTTTCCATCCACTTACTCTCAACCTGGATCTTTATATTTAAAGTACATCTATTATAGATAGTATACAGTTGGACCTTTTTTTTTCTTAAATTCTTATAATACCTGCCATTTAATTAGCATATTAATCCATTCACATGTAATGTACTTATTGGAATGGTTGGATATACATGTACCATTTCATTATTTATTCACTATTTGTCACCTCTGTTTTCTATCCTACTTTTTTGCCAGCTTTCCTTAGGATTATTTGACTATTTTAAATTTCTTTGTAATTTATCTCTTGGATTTTTAATTATACTTCTTTGCATTTTTAGTTGTTTCTCTACAATTACAATACATATTCTTAACTCTTCAGTCTACTTAGAGTTAATACTCTACTATTTCATAAAACATGTAGAAATAGTGCAACTAAATAGGTCCACTTACTACCCCCAACTTTAAGCTGTAATTGTTATAAGTATTACATTTACATATACTTATAAAGCTTATGAGGCAATTTTATAATTTTACTTTGAGCATATATACATGCATATCTATATATATGTATATATAATACATATCTATACATACATGTATTTCTTTAAAAACTAAAGCCAAACTGTCTTTTTTATTGACCCAGATAATTATCTCTCTGGTGCTTTTTATTCCTTCTGAAGCTTTACATTTCTGCCTAGCATCATTTCCTTTAGCCTAAAAATTTTCCTTTAGGTTTTTTGTTTTTTGTATTTTTTCCATTATCATTTATCCCATTAGTATTTCTTATAGTACAGATCTGCTGGTAATTAGTTCTCTTGTTTTCTATCCTTAAAATGTCTTTATTTTTGCTTTTATTTTTTGAAAGCTCTACTCATTAGATATAGAATTCTGGCCTAACAAGGTTGTTTTCCTTTTCTTTATCTCAGCCTTTTATAGATTCTGTATTCTGGCCTCCATAATTTAATAATGGAAGTCAACAATAATTGGAATTGTTATTCCCCTGTATGTAATATGTCATTTATCTCTGGATACTTTTAAGGTTTTTCTATTGATCTTTGGTTTTTAGGACATTGAATGCCTTATGCCCAGGTATAGTTTTCTTCATATTTATTCTACTTAAAATTTTCTGAGCTTCTTGAGTCTTTCATTTATCTCATTGACCAAATTTGAGGGAGTTTCAGCCATTATTTCTTCAAATTGTTCTTGCCCCATTGTCTCTCCTTTCCTTCTCAGTTTCTAATTCCATGTGTGTTGGACCTTTTGATGGTGCCCCACGGGTCCTCAGATCTCTCTTCATGTTGTTTAGCAATCCTTTTTTCTCTTTCATTTTTCAGATTAGGTCATTTATATTGATCTACCTTCACATTCATGCTTTCCTCTCTAATGTCTATTCTGCTCTAAGTCTACCCAGTGATATTTAAATTCCATACTTTATAGATTTTGACTTTAGACTTTCCATTTGCTTCTTTCTTATAATTTTTCTCTCCTGAGATTTTCTATTTTTTTTCACTCATTGAGATAATATTTTCCTTTATATCAATCAAGAGCATAGTTATAATACCTGTTTTAAAATTCAAGTCTGAAGATTCCACATCTGGGATGTATGGAACAGGCCTCCTCTGATAATGTTTTCTTTTTAGAATGGGTCACATTTACTGGTTCTTCTATGTCATTGCAGATTACATCCCAGATGTTGTAGCTGTTATGTTGGGGAGAATATGGTTTCTAGTACACTCCTTGAAAACTGTTGGATATTTTTTTAAGCAGGCAATTAACTCGGTTGGAGTCAAACTACAAATTCTCTCTCTTGGGTGGCAACCCAAATCTCTGTTTATTTCTTTTTCCCTTAATAGGCTGCTTTGAGTCCACCATGTGCACTTATGATTTAGGGCTCATCAAAGATTTGGGTGGAGATTATTCAAAGACTTTATGGTCCTCTCACTCTGACTCTCTCCTCCCGGGATTCCCCCCACCTTCCAGTGGCTGTGGTGGCCCAGAACTCTGTAGTCTTAACATTCAGACCACAAAGATAGCAGGTTTTCTATCAGAGTTTTACCTATTCCACGCAGCTGCCAACTGCAGTTTTCCCTCAAGCTAAAAGCTATAAAAATGAAAAATTTATACTGTATACTTCCCTTTTTACAGCTGTAAACTTCCCTCCAGAATTTGCCTGATTTTGTTTGCTCTACAGCGCCATTAAGTAATTGTTTCTTACACTTTATTCAGAGTTTGTAGTTGTTTCTTACTTTTTTTCCAGAGTTTATGGTTGCTATCTGCAGAAGAGTCAGTATGGTATAAACTTCCCGGGCCATACTAGTGAAACAGCCTCAGTATAGCTGTATGGACAATCCAAGGGCAGGCAGCTTGGGAAGATATAGAAGGAAAAGCACAGCAGGCTCTTTCCACAACCACAAAATTTAGCTTTTACTCTTCCTTATTAAAATGGATTCTTCAGTGAATCAAAAAAAATTCCCCCAAATCTCACAATTTAAAATAATTTAGGAAAAGACCAGTTGAAGTCTGAGATATGGACTCATTTAAACAAAATACTGCATATATTCAAAGCAATAAATCTGAGCCTCAGATTATACTGAAAAACAACTGCCCTGTAAGGAATGGGTAAGTGGCTCAGGCAACATGATTGTAGTAAAGGAATAGTATGATTTATACTCACAGGATTTCACAGAATCTTAATATGGATAATAGGAATCATCTAGTTAAAAGTACTCATATGTCTATATATAAATTAACAATTCATTGATTCATTTTTAAAAAATTAATGAACACCTATGGATCATGTGCCAGGCACAGCACCAGTTTTAAGATAGACAATGATGCTTACAAAGATTATTTTCATTAGGTATTCAGACTTCGTTCTTCTATCTTCTTTCCATCAATTTTCACTTTGAATAATGTACTTAATAAGGAAATTGTATTTCAGACACCATTCAAATGATTGCATTTTTTTTACCAGTTGACTCAAATTTTATAAGATTGTGATAGATTCGTTTTTCTCTCATTGAAAAACAATTCAGCCACTCTAGAAGGCAGTATGGAGAGACCTCAAAAAATTAAAAATGGAACTGGCATTTGACCCAGCAGTCCCACTTCTGGAAATATATTCAAAGAAACCTGAAACACTAATTTGAAAGAACATGAGCACCCCTACATTCATTGCAGTGTTATTTACAATCACCATGATATGGAAGTAGCACAAGTATCCAGCACTAGATGAGTAGATAAAACAACTATGGGACATTTGCACAATGGAATACTACTTGGCCATAAAAAAGAAGAAAATTTTACCCTTTGCAACAGCATGGATGAACTTGGAGAACATGATACTAAATGAAATAAGCCAGTCAGAGAAAGACAAATACCATCTGACTTCATTTATATGTGTATAACTGAACAAACTAATAACTAATAAACTAATGAACAAACTCAACTAACATGCAAAATAGAGACAGACTCATAGACAGAGAGCAGGCTGACAGCTCTGGGAGGCATGATTAGCAGGCGGAGGAGTTGAGCAAAAAGGATAAAGGACTCATGGACATGGACAACAGTGTGGTGATTGGGGGGGTGGGGAATAATGGTAATGGGAAAATACAATTAAAAAAAAACTTAAAAAAAGAAAAACAATTTGATGTAAAATACAAAATGCCCTTTTGTGGGCCAGCAATGGATGCTATGATGGTTTGACATGTGTTCAATGCCCTCATAGCATTTCTTTCTGTATCAAGTAGCCAGTAAAAAAACTCAAGAGTTACTGAATAGCACATGATGCTTCTTCCATTGACTTAGTCATGGACGGAATTGTTATAAATGACAGTGTCATTCAGATCATGGTCTGTAATGCTATGACTAGGAACTTGTTGGCTTCTAAGTTAATCAGGAGTCATGACAAAACAATCACTACCATATGTGTATTTAATTGTTCTTAACAAATGTCCATGAGCATTTTTAGTGAAATATGTATAATACATATTAGCATACAAAGTTCAGGGAAATAAGATCTCAGATAGTGAATTTCTCCAGATTAGGAAGTACAACTATCTTCTAAGATATCCCTAAGATCCTGTCACTCAGGAAGTGTGTTACCATGAATAAATTATAATTCTGACATCAGGAGTCATATTAGAGTTAGAAACTATATTAATACTGTAGAGGAAAGAGAACACCTAATAATAAATTAAAATATTTTCAGCATCAGCTTTATTTTGATCACATTATTCTACTCTTATAATAAAGATTTACACAATTACTTCTGTTTAAATCATTTCTTTTTCTTAAATCTTGCTACATAATTTGATAGCAGTAGGGAACTAAATGCAGTATAATTTTACTTGCCAACAATGAAGGAAGCTTTCATAATAACAATTAATCAGAACAGAAAGGAATCCTGAAATGTCTGTATCACTTGTCAGCAGTGTCTCTATCTTTAGTATGATGGAACAAGATTAAACCCTTTTATTCTAAAAGAATGAGAGGAATAATCACAAAGCAAACAATTCTCAATATAGATATGGGAGAAATGTGGGTGCATTGTTACTAGTTAGCAATGAAGGGAAAGTTTTGATTTAGGAGAAAAGAGAACAGAAATCACATAAAAGCTAATTTCCACTTCTTAAATGTTAACAAAGTGGAAGAGGGGAAATTAGATGTTTCATTTTAGAGTTAAAGAAGATTTGAGATTTAATATTGCTTTCAAATTCAAAATTTACATTGAATGTTTCAATTATTCTATGTGACACATGGGACGATTATTCTTCAGAAATAAAATATCCAGCATGTTTTCTAAGGTTTCCTCTTACATTTTTGATTGCTGTAATTGATCTCGAGCTATGTCGGTTTCCTTTTCAAGGTTTTTGATGAATGTTTTTTCTTACCAAGGAAAAGTTTATATCATAACCACTTATATTTCCAAAACTTGGGTAATACAATTATATGTTTCACATCCCATAATTTTTATAGAGGAATATAAGAGCTCTCCTTCTTTCTGTACCAACCAAAGGAACTCATGATCTGTCTCATCCATCAGTAAAACCGAGTGGCCTTTTTTCCCAGGCCACAGCCAAAGGATCAAAACCAGGTGACTGCATGTTTGTCAGAAATCACTGCAGTTGATTCACTCCACAGGAGACCCGTCATCCTTCAAACAAGCCTATTTATCACCAGCTATCAAAGTCCAGACTCACTGCACCTGCTCTGAGTGACTGTGTATTCACAACTGAAACCTTTGCTCACACATCGGTTTGGGGGCTGAGCACCATAGCTCCAGAGAACTGAGAAAAACCACCCTGCTTCCCACTGCACACCAATCTCCTTTCAAGGACCTATCCCTGAATTCTGTATACCCAGGGTGCATGTAGACCTGTATAACAAAAGAGGTTACTTTTTATTCGCAGGAGGAAACTCTTCAGCGAGCACGGGAGGAAGAGGAGAAAAGAAAAGAGATCACGAATCACTTCCAGAGTACCCTGACAGATATCCAGGCCCAGATTGAGCAGCAGAGTGAGCGAAACATGAAGCTGTGTCAGGAGAACACAGAGCTTGCAGAGAAACTGAAAAGTATCATTGATCAGTACGAGCTCAGAGAGGAGGTAAGAACCACATCAAAGAACTTAGAAGTACTGGGTACAGATCCTGATCCGGGTTGTGAAGGTGAGGAACAACCCACCTTCAGTGGTTAATAGGAAAGTTATGGCCAGCCTTCTCAATTGATTAATATTTAGGACTGGATTTCTTCTACTAGCCAAAAAAAAACCAGATGGTATTGCAAAATACCTGGCGGAAAGTCATATGGAATGTCTTCAAAACTGGAATCACTGCAAAGTAAAGGCAATAAATAGAAAGTGGTAGGCTGTGAGTACAGTTATCCTCGGTCTTTCTTAAATGCTCTCTACAGAGCCAAGAAATATCGTACACACCCTCTTAAAAATCAGTATGTCATTAAGGATCTGTATTCTATACACCCCCGTGAGCCAATACTAGTACTGATAATGTAATAATTATAATTATCATGGTATTATTCAGAGTTTAGTTTGGGCCATGTGCTGAAAACTATACCTATGCCATTTCATTGTCTCAGCAACCTTATGCACTAGATGACATATTGTCCATATTTTATAGATGGAAAGTTGAGACTATGAGGTTAAATCACCCATGGTCTAAAACTCAAAAGAGTTTTCCTTTCAGTCACAATAAGGGGACTATCAGGATTCTTTCATTATTCCAAAATTATATTTTAATATTTGATATGTTTTTAAGACTCCAGAAGTCCCTTCAAGATTCTGATAGATCATATTTCTTTCCTCATCGCACCCAAATTTTAAATCTGTTCTAAAATGTAAAATAACTTAGTCAAAATGGTTCTGTCAGCAACATGCTAAGAAAACTGAGCCAGTGCACATGGTGCTACCACTTAGGCACGTCAAGAAACTCTTCATAATAAGCCAAAATGCCATGTGAGCATTTTATCCCGTTATAGTTAGGAACATTTGACCAGGAAGATCAACCTGCTCCAGAGCGAAGGTTCAGACCAAAGTGAAAGGGAAGGGGCTGAAAAGCCATACTCTTCAGAGAGATCTGGATGGGAATAGCCTGGTAGACCGGCTGCATGTTCCTGGGGCTGGTGCTGAGTAAGGCCCAAGGGTAGAATTCCACATGTCTTCTTGCTGATGGGACCTCCTAATGCCCGAGAAACTCTCCACACTGGGATAGGGTTGGAAGCTTCTCTTCCCCAAGCTGGCAGAGAGGTCAAGGTGTGGAGTCACACGGCACCACAGTTGCATATCAATCAACTCATCTGTGACCCTGGCCTTGTCTTGCCCACTAGTGCTGTACTCAGGGGGTTCCTGCCTTAGTCCCTGATTTGGGTCTACATGCTGGTACCCCAGAACTTCTTATGCCCTTGAAGCAAGAATGTGGAGGATGTGGTGGAGAATTCACCATGATACATTGTGTTAATGTTGTGCTTACAGGTGGTTTTATATCCATAGAAAGAGCCAAAGCACAGAGTGACAGTGCTGTCATGATATACCTCACTGTGCTGTCTGTGCTGGATACGGTCCTTGTGCTGGGCAGCACAAGGACTAGATCATGTCCAGTAGTCACTAAATTTAGAAAAACAATGCAGGGGCCTCTGGAGAAATAATTGCTGAATTCTGGCAAAATTCAGGGGACTTCACCAATTTATGACTTTTCTTCAAAGCTATAAGTGGTGCCAATGCATTTATTCCTCCCCCCCTCCATTTTTTAAAATCTTAAAACCTGGAGAATATGTGTTACATGAATATTACTTTTTTATTTTACATTTTTCAGCACCAATGGCTAATCATGCTTGATGTGTGCACTTTTTTTTCTTAGCATCTGGACAAAATTTTCAAACACAGAGAACTGCAGCAGAAGCTGGTGGATGCGAAACTCGAGCAGGCTCAAGAAATGATGAAGGAGGCAGAGGAGCGACACAAACGGGAAAAGGAATATGTACTTATCGCCTGAGTCAGTGTGCTTGTCTGGTCTGCCTTGGGCTCAGGGAGCCCTTGAGGAAGGTGTTTTCGAGAATGGTCATGAGCCCTGAGCTGATGGAAAAAGAGCCTGAGCTCCCTGGAGACTAAATTGGTCAGCCCAGTAGGAAGCACCCTACCTAAACTATTTTTCATATAAAATAGTCCAGTGTCCGTTCAACAGATCTTTTCCCAGTGCCAGTCATATGCTAAGTTCCATCTGGGGGATGGGGTATAGTGGTAAGGAAGACAGAGAAAGTCATGACCCATCATGGAAATTAGAATCTAACTGGAAAGAGACAAGCGATTAACAAGCAAACAAGGCAAGGTAATTTCAGATAATAGTAAGTGCTATGAGGGAAATAAGCAAAAACTGAGAAGGGCAGAAGGAAGGGACCTACTTTAGACTGGGTGACCAGAGGAGATGACTTGGGCTGAGCCCTACTGGACGAGAAGGGTGTCTGCAGCAGCAATGTCTGTAGCAGCAACAAAGGCCCTGATGCTGGAACCAGCTTGACATCCTTTTAGAAATAAAAGGTTAAGGTAGCAAGAGTATGTTGACCCAGTGGGAGAAAGTTTCAAAATGATGTTGGAGAGGAAAGCAGAGACCAAGTTGTGCAGCTTTGTAGGCTTGGAAAGTAGTGTGGATTTTATTCTAAAAATAATGAAAAAGGACCGGGTAGTTTTTGCAAAGAAAGTGACATGATCTGCTTGGCATCTGCAAAAGATAAATTTGGCTCCTGGGTGGAAAATGAGCCAAGGAGGAACAAGAACATAAGAAGACAGTTAGGAGACTACTGTAGCCGTGTGGACGAGCTATGATGACAGCGTGAATCAGGGAGGTGGCAGTGGTGATGGAGAGCTGGATGTGGATAAAAGTTGTGTTTTCAATGTAAATCCACAGGCAATCCAGTGAACTGAAGATGGTCACAGGGAAAAAAGAGGAGCCAAGGAGGACTCCTGAGTTTCTGGTTTAAGAAACTGAGTGGTGGTTTTTACTGGCATCTCATTAACCCCAAGTACTCCTGGACAGCGCTGGGCCATCCTACAGATGAAAGGTTCGATGAGGAGATGCAGCTTGTTTAATTAAGGTTACACGCTGCTAATCAACCAAGATGTATAGTGAACCCAAGTGTGTCTGCCCCTAAGACCAAGCTCTATGACAGTACATCACACTCACAGGTGTGTTTCAGAGGCAAAGTTCAAGTCTGTCCATTGCTGGGGTGAAAGAAAGATTTAAGACTCAGTCAATGGGCCAATCATTGGAATTTCAGCATTTAATAATTGATCTCAAGTTTCGCCTTTACTGGAAATCAGATCATAATCACTTAAATTTGTTAAAAGAGAAATACAGACATGACTTTGATTTACAAATGCAGCAACAAAAGAATGAATTTTGGAGAACAGAACCTACTGGACACTGAATAATTTCAAATCAGAAGTCCATGTGCTGTTAATAAGAAGGTGAATTTATTAATTCATCTACAACCTCACTCTCAAAGTAAAAACTAAAACATTTAATTATTGTTCATATAAGAAAACAGACATTCCACTGTTGGCATAACTACCATATTAGGTAAAATGCTTCCTATAGGATCAGTACCTCTGATCTATGAGACATGACAGAGGAGCATCTGGGCAAAGGTTCAAGTGAGTGGGACAAAGGGGTAGACATGGGGTGACCCAGCCTCAGCAAGAGCCCACCATGCGACCCGTTTTCCTACCCTGGTTTAGTAAAACATAGTGGGGTTGTGAGTCAAAGAATAGTAGTCCCCTCGTTCTTCAAAGCTGGCCGGCCTCCTATCCTGATTCTAGCTCTGATGCTTCTTTCTGAGAGTGATGAAATGATGTCGGCGCTGGGAAGTGCCTTCCCTCCACATAGAACAGGCAGCCAGCACCTGCCTCCTCTCTGTCGGGGACCACCCAGTGCAACACGGCTCCTCAACCCACTTAGGGATGCAGGGCCAATGTACACAGCCACCGTGCCACTCAAATGGCCAGAGGGGGCACTGCAGGTCTCCTACCTCATGTCTGCCCCAGACCAAATTATTTCACTTCTGTAATAATTCGCCTTCACTGCATGCTGTCAGGCATAGGGGAACTTATAGAACCCATCTTACAAATAGAGAGGTTGAACCATAGGAAAAAAAGATAAACTTGGATAGGAAAAAAATATCTTCAGGTTTTGAAAATAATAATTTTGTTGGGTTTTCTGTTGTTGTTCTGATTACAAAAGTAATACATGGACCTCATGGACACTTTTCCACAGTAGAGACAAAGAAAAAACTTAAATCGACCTATCTTCAAATACATTAGAACCTTCTTAACTGATGGCCGCTTGACTGACTGGCCAGATGAGTCCATGGCCTCACCATTCTCTCTGTACGCACTGCCCGCATGCCCAGAGCTTGTTGAATCCTGCGATAGGCAAGTGGGCAGCCCTGGACGGCCTGCACATGGTTTTCCTGTTAAGTAAGATGGGGCTGCCCAAGAATCAGCCCCCTGCTCCCAAACCTTTATTTCCAGCCGTCCTTGTGTTTGTAGTATGTAAATCAACAGAATCATACATTCACTAAAGAAAAAGAAGTAGGCAAAGAAAGTGGTTTCTAGGAAAATTATGCTCAATGCTTTGAAAGACTGGAGTAAGCAAAGAGCAAAAAAAAAAAAAAAAAATCATCCAACTAGATGTTAGCAGCTATAAAAGACTGGGAGAAAGTTGCAAAACTCCAGAGAAGTAAAGAAGTCAGGCTATTTGACAAGTGTCTGTTGGTCTCAGGTTCTAGCACTTTTGTTTAAACAAAGAAAATACTCTAATTCTTATATGGCACATTATGGATACGATTTTTGTAAAAACAGGACAAGTTCTTCTGAAGTATATTATGAAGGTCCACCCCCAAAACAAACCTCAGAGCCCTCCATCAAAATGGATAAATAAGTGAGCATACATCTTAGGTTTAAATAACATTTATGTCATTTGTTATACCTAAAACAACCTTTTCAATTTAACCCCTCAGCTCTGAGTCCTGATGCTGTTTCTTATGAGGGCCTTGATTGTATCCAAAAGGCTACCTTATGGGAGATGGACCTTATTCTGTAAAATTACACAGGACTTATTTTGTAAACTTATACAGGATTTGGGATAACAGGTCAAATCTCTAACCCAGTGTTTCTCAGAATGTAACCCATGGACCACTAGTAGCCAAACCACCTTGGGTATTTGCTGTACGTATGGATTGCAGTCACACACCCAAACTTCCTAACTGACGTTCTCTGACAGGGATCAGCATTTCTCCATTCTCCCTGAGAGATTCTGACGCATGTTATGGTGGATAACACTGCTTAGGGGACTAATTTGGGGTTTAATATAAAGGAACAGTTGCTCACAACAGTGCCCCAGGTGGGGATGTTCTGAAGATGGTCAAGTAGAGGCCAAATGATGGCTGGGTAGGATTGCTAGAGAAGGTTCTAGAATTTGGTGGAAGTTTGAATTTTGTGTGATTCATGCTTGCCTTGAAAATGATTTCCCTTTCTTTCCCGATAAAACCACTGATTTTTAGTTGAGAATCCAACTATTGAGACTAGTTGTTTTCTTAGATTTCTTAGAGTCTTTACAAAGTTACCCAGAAATTACTTGAGTGGGCTAATTAGCAAGTTTCTATGTTTTATACGCAAATTACAGTCAAATGGTCGTTTAAGACACCTTGACAAACTTTCCTCGCATTCTCTCCTCTGACAGTTGCTGAACCAGGCAGCGGAGTGGAAACTGCAGGCCAAAATGCTGAAGGAGCAAGAGACAGTCCTTCAGGCTCAGGTGAAGGGGGGAACTGATGCATGGGGTGTGCGCTCCTTCTGTTCCCATGTGACGTGGCTGTGACGTAAAGGTGGTCTGCAGAAGGCCTGCTTGTAGCAGGGGGAAGGGAATAGAAACCACGAATGAAGGATAATTTCATGCTTATTATTAAGTAACAATAAAATCACAATGTTATATCTAAGAAAATAAATGTTCTGCACCAATAACATCCAGTCAAAAGGTTTGCTGACATGCAAATAAGGGCACCAGAATGGCCAATGAGAGTAAGCTGGTCACCGGGTTTCCACCTATCTGTTCATTTGTCCTCTCTCTCTCTTCTCCCATTACCCTATCAAGGTAAGAATAAAGTGTAACCTGTTCAGATGCACCATCTATAACTGTCAATGCTGAAAATGTCCTTGCTTGTTTGGCACTATTTATAATAAAAGGAAATTAGAAAAACAGAGTCAGCACCCAAGTTTTTGTGCTCTCGGAGGCTGGCTCTGTCAGAGGCGAATGACTAAATGGCAGACATTTACGAGACAAGTCAAGAACCATTTTCATCTGGCTCTGTGATGTCCTGGGTGTGTTCTGACTGGGTTATGGGAATTCATCTTTCAGACTCAAAACTAAAGCCTCACGCAACAGCTGACTCTGGGGGGAACGCCAGACTTATCCATCTTTCCTGAGCCCCAGGAGACCCGCCCCTCCAGGCAAACTCTCCCCGTTAGATTCTAGGGGAGGCGCCCTGGTATGGGATGCAAAGGGGTGCAGGCTCCCGTCCTGGGGAAGACGAGGGCCCTACAGACACTGTCTAACCACTTAACACAAATCCACAGAAGATGAAGAAAGTGGAGGCCTTCTGAGCTGGGCAGCATTAATTTAAGAGTTGAGCAATTCACTTGTAAATGTCTATGTGCTGACTGCCAAATACTTGTTTACTGTAAAAGAAAAAGAAAATAAGAAAACCAAGAATAGTAAAGTCACAAATGATACCACTGCACAGACAAAAACACAGACAGCAGTTTGGAGTCTAAGCTTTCTAAAGTATACTTTTCCAATGTCTGTACTGATTGCAACAATGAATTGTTTTCCCTGGTAATATATCAAAATATTTCTAAAATACTAATTACATAGATATTAGAGCCATAAAGTTTCTGACTATTAATAGAATTGAGGGAGCCAGGGTTCAAAGACTAAACTCGAAAGCATCCTTTAGGGAGTCACAGAGCTCATCCCAGCATTGTGTGGGATAGGTGGCAGAGGGGTGACAGAGACAGGCAGGGGAAGGAGATGTGACCTCACAGGCTTGGGGCAGGTCTGGAGAATCAAGCCAGGGCTTCTGGCTCTATGTCTGCCCCATTCACAACACAGCGCCTAGAGGGTACAATAGACAATAATACTTGAAGTTATGCATTATTCACATCGTCTTACAAGCAATCTCTACTTCTCTTTGCTAAATAAAGATAATGAACTTGAGAAGAGCATATTAATATCATCAGACTCCAGGATAGAGAGTGATTCATTCACTTGGCATGAGAATCTAGCCTTTAATGACCTATAAAATCAAAACATAAGGTGGTCTCTAATTTTCCACCTATAGCTCCTCAAACTCAAAAATGCATCTACCAGGGGTTCTAGACTTGCCCATGTTTCTCACTCATCCCTCAATGCTGGACTGAGTCCGGGACTGGGGTCAGAGTCCTGGCTCTTCTGAAGAAAAGCTGTGCCACCCTGAGCAGTGTGCCTAAGCCTCCCTGAACTAAATCTCCTTGTCTAAGGATGATGCAATGGATTAATAACCCCAAACTGGAGCCCTCTGACCGCTGGGAGGCCCATTACTTTTCACTATCTCTGAAACATAGCACGAAAAGCTGCAGCTACTATGCAAAAAATGTAGTTGTTTTTGATGTTATCTCAGCTTTCTGTCAGCAACTATGGATGGCAACTATTTATATGTTTGGTTAAGTTTTTAAGAGAAAAATGAGTTCATGAATATGTAATATGTACAGTTTTTTACAAATTATGCATGCACTTAGCTCAGTACCTAAACTATAACAGACCTAATTAATTCAACTTAGGTTTATTGAGTACCTACTAAGTGCTAGGCATGCTTCTAGGTGTTGCAGATATAGTAGTCAATAAGAGACAAAAACTTCTGCCTAATTAAACTTACAATCTAGTCATCAGTAATGTTAATAAAAATGCTAACAAGCAGTATATGTGCTAATATTAGGATTATTTCATAGGTGAGGACCCACATAGGAATAAATGAGTCCAAGGGAGTCTCTGTTTGCAAAAAAGTTTAAGAACCACTGGGAAAGATGATCCCAAGAACCTGTTCACCTCTGGTTCATGAATGTAACGAAAGCTGCCTTCTCTGTTGCCCTTTTTCACGGCACATGGCTCTCTCTACAGGGGCTCCCCTTTGTCTGTCTCTCACCTTCGAGGCACCTTCACAATTCCAACAATTACTTAATCATCAAGAAGACTATAGAGGTCCCGAGTCCCTGTGTATAATAATGCTCAAATAAGTTCCTCTAAAAAAGTGTTGACATTATATATTTTTTAACATTTAAACCTTGAAAACTGAAGTGTGTCCCAGATTCTCTTGCATAGCCCTCAAACACTGCCTATGGGGCAGGAAGTGAGAAGGGGAAGCCTCAGTCCCCATTTCTGCCGTACAAGCGAGGGAAACACCAAAAGTGGGTTGTGTTCTCCTTGATGGAAGTCACTTTTCCGTCAAACAGCTGCCAGTTTGGGGCATGATTATCACTTAGGGAAGGGATGTCTGGCCTTCAATTATACGAACCAGAGCAATAGAGTAAATGTCAGAGATGATCAATGGGATGCAATCATCACTACAAATAGAGTGTTCACTGGATCGATAAGGAGGAAGGTGGTAGTGGATGTGGAAAATCAGCAATCCCTGACAATGCAGACACAAAATACTGCCCAAGGGGAAGGAGCAGTGAGTAAATTGTTAAAGATGGGTAATCATCATCTTTCAGTCCAAAAGTCCTCACCTTATCAATATAAGATGAGAGGAGAATCCTCTGAAAACACTATGATAATTGGACAAAATCTCTCAAGTTTGCTGAAAAAATTCTGGAACACAGTTTTGTTCCCTCTACACTATGAATGTTTGTAATTAAATTTGGCACTCAGTTAAAAGAATATGTGTGTGTCATTCAGCCCATTTCCAAGTGAAATGTTGGGATGATTATTGCTATTCCTAATGCTAGCACAATTTGTTTCTAATATTTCTGCCTCTGGCAGGAGAGGTACTGGGGTGACCCCTGGATATTGCTTCCATGCTTCTCTGAAATACCAAAGTGAGAGCAGGAACACGTCAGAGCCAACATGTGTCACATCTGACAGTGAGAGGAAAAACACTAGCAAACAAAGATTCATGTAGCAAACAGGAAGTGTACCTTTTTAGTTAGCACAAGTAGAGTGTTGGAGTTGGTTACCTGAGAGAGGTGTGATCGATCCACGTGGATTTTGCCGTGTATGGCACTGAGGTCAAATAGGAAGAAAAGCAGAGGGTTAAAAGCAGTCACCAGAAGGGGAAAATGGGAAATTGTTTATGGGGTACAGAGTTTCAGTTTTGCGAGAGGAAAAAGTTCTGGAGATGGGTTGCACAACAATATAATTAACACCACTTAGCTATACACTTAAAATGGGTAAGATGGTCAGTTTTATGTTATGTGTATTTTACCAAAATTAAAATTTTTTTTAAAGAAAAAAGTTAGAAAAAGGACAGAAGAGGTGATAATAAAGCAAAACATTACTTCCTGGTACTCTGGATGTATCTATGATCTCAATCTTCCCAACTGATACAGTAAAAAGAACATTTTACTCAGACAAAGGTGGGGGCTGCCTGGGGCAGGTGTGTTACGTCCGCTAATACTGTCAAGGCCGCTCTGTGAGATGGATCACGCATGCGCTCACTCCTGCTCTCTCCCGTCTGCAACCTGCAACTACAGGGCTACAAGAATGTGCTTGGAAGGAGGGGCTTGGGAGACCGAAGTGTCTGAGACTGCCATACAACTCTTCTGGAATCGCTGTAAAATGTGTGGGGGGGCGGGGGAGGGGGGCAGACAGAAAGTAAGAAAAAATTAATCGGCGTGCATAGCCAAGAATGTAAAAGAACTGATTTTGTAATAGAAGGTGAAGAGGATCAGCTGGGAGTAGTTACTTCTGCCCTAGGCTGCAGGATCATGTGCAGTATCAATAATCAGGAATGTACATTGGGGTAGAGGCTCTTAAGTTGAGAGGCTTGATCTATTCACAGGGCCCTGAAATCAATTCATTGGATCCCAATCACATCTTTGAAAAAAAATGAAACATTAATTCTGCTTTGAGAATGCATTACATTTAATAAAATATTGCTGTATACAGAGAGAGAGAGAGAGAGAGTGTGTGTGTGTGTGTGTGTGTGTGTGTGTATAAAACCTTCCTGGCCATGAACTCCCTGATGCCCCTTTCCTCAGTCTTCTCCACTCTGACTGCCACAGAATCAAATTTTAGAGCATTAGAGTTGCCCCGAACTGGATCACATACTCACAGTGCTGATGAATGATTTTAGAATGACAGTCAGCTGTTGTTTGACTTTTCTTTGAAAAATTTGTATTCAGTGAAAGGGTTTATGTTATCATTTTGCTGTTCTTTACTGCAATAAACCCCCTGCTATTCTGAATTATTTATGAATGAGCCATTCTAGATGAGCAAACTTTCTGAATTCTTGGGGTTGATTCCCACACACTTCCTCTAACTCCCACCTCCAAGGCTAAAAGCTCTGTATTCTACTGGCTTTCATGTGATGCGTTCTTCTCTGCTTTCAGAAGGACAGTCTCACAGGTATGACCAGCTGGTCAGTTGGTGCCTGCCATCCAGCCAATAGCCCAGCCATCCCAGTCTACAAGGGCAGCCTTGGGTGCTTGTTTGCTGCTGGATGTTGCAAACTTATTTTTCCATACAAAAGACATTTCTGTACCCACTTGAGAACTTGGGGCTATTCCAGGCACTCAAGGGCACTGAATACTCATTTGAAAATGTAGGTTTTACTCACGTGACACATCCATGTTAAATCACTCATCAAAACATGCTATCCTAAAATTATTTTTAAAAGCAGAATTTTACTATTGTATGATATCACTGTCACTAACAATTAAGTACTCAGACACTGGCCTTTCCTGTCCTGCCTCATTCCCAGCCCAAAGGCAAGCTTTGGGATGGAGGATGCGGAGGCACAAAGGCTCTTCTCCGCACCCCCATGGCGAGCCACTTGCCAACGCTAGCCCATACAACGTGGTTTCCTGTAAACTAGGAAAAGGCATTCCTTCCTCCACACTCATTATTTCCATCTGTAGAAAAGTCTTAAAAAAAAACTGATTTTGATGAAAAGAGACATTTAACAGCTATTGGCTGGAATGCTGTATTTATAAATATACAAAACCACCTGTCTAAAATGGAAATGGCAATTGTTTAGAATGGGACAAACTGCAGTATGGCAGCGGCCTTAGTCTATGTCTGGTCCACATTCCCTTTATCACTTTTTTTCATTTGTCTACATTCTCCTATCCTCTAAGACCAAGTTCAAGGCTCACCTCCTCCCCATACACATGGCTCCTTCTCTGCACTGGCACTTTATGTTATCTGAATAAAAGTCAACTTGCCTCCGGGATTGTCTTCCCATCAAGAATGTAGGTCCTCAAAAGCAGGAGTCGCATGTCAAATACTTTTGTACATACAGTCCATGCATATGCTCAGAGCTCAAAAAATCTGTTAGTATAAGTTATGACATAATGAAGTGGTAATGACATATTTTATTATTTCACTTTTCTTTAAAGAACGACTACAATCATGGTCACTGACCTATGTTGTTCTCGTAGTACATAAAAGAACTGAACATATTACTAACACTGTATTGAGAATTTCCTCAAATCATTTTTCTTAACAAATAATGAACAATGACATGCTGTTTTGTTCTGGAAACATTCTGAAAGCAGCCCTAAAGTAGATCCACTCTTTCCCATTTACAGCTCACCCTTTACTCTGGAAGGTTTGAGGAGTTCCAGAGCACACTGACAAAAAGCAATGAGGTGTTTGCCACTTTCAAACAGGAAATGGATAAAGTGAGTACTGCTTATCCCGTACAAAATATTGACATTCTCTGTTTTGACAGGCAATTCTCCTTTGGGTTCACTTTTCTCTCACTAAGCTATTCCAGTGCACTTCACAAAGTAATTAAACATTTACAGGTGCCGATGAGATTTGGGCTGTATTTTTTATTGGTACGTATCTAGTACATTAATCTGAAGGAGGGTCCAAAAACACTGGGACATATTTTCACTCTGAGGAAGATGTTTTCTTTAGTCTGTGAATAGTTTAAAAAAAACAACAACAAGAGCTAGCAACTTAACACTATGTTGTGTATACTGAAATAAAAGAATATCTAATCTTCTAAAGATAAAAAAGCTTTCATACATAAGAGTAAAACTTTAAGGTAGAAAATGCCATTTCATAGGATCCTTCCTAGAAGATATGTAGATGTACTGACAGTGTCTTTGAACAAGATAGAAGTCTGAATTGGATAGTTTACTCAATATCCCTCAATTTTATCTACAATTCAAGGCACTATTTCCCTCGCTTGCTTCATAAGAGTGTGGAGTTAAAATTAAATTATCTTAAAAAGCTTTTCAACTTTTAAAAGTTTGGGGTTTGTTTGTTTTTTACAAATGTAAGGTACTCCTATTCTTGTGGCATACCATGTTTAAATCTTATTCAATCCTGTGTTTTTCCAAAACAAAATAAGCATCAAAATTGTGTTTTGAGAACATTGGCATTAACCCTTTTTAAGGATAGAGAGCATCCTTTTCAAAACATTTTCATAAAATAGTAAGATAAATTTCACAGTTCAGCGAGGAAACTGAAGTAGACCGACATTTATTAATGGTTACAGCTTTCCCACTCCTGACGGGATTTGTCCATTTAAAAAAATAATTATAGGGTTTTAAGATTGAAATAAATATTAAAATGAGAAAAAGGGTTTTAATTCAAAGTTACATAGTTTTAGGATTGGGCTGAATCTTAAAGAGCATTCTTAACCTGGAGTTCATTTATTGACTTTTCAGTAGTAAACCTGAGAATTAGCCAAAAAATTTGATATGCATATTTGCATTTCTCTGAGTGGTCCCATAGACCTCATAAAATTCTTAAAGGTGTCAATAACCTTTAAAAGTTCATAAACTTGGTTAGGAAATGGTCAAAGTGAAAAAACCACTGGAGGCTCACCCCGCTTCTCTGTACAGCCTGGGGGCCCACAGCTGGGCCCAGCCTCTGGTCTCCAAGGTTACCCAGCCTCAGGCAGGTTGGCACAAAGTAGCAAGTGCCAGCCGCGGTAAATCCACGGTGCCTGGGTTACGTGCCTTGTCCTTTACTTCATTCAAGCAGAGAGGAGATCCTACAACCAGGAGCGTAAGCAGGTTCGGGTCCAGAAAAGACAGGCTGTATTTCGGTCACTTGGGTACCTGCCCCCAAAACACACACACACACACACACACACACACACAGCCCCAGCCTAGTGACCAGCAGACACTTGCACTCCCTGCATTAACTGGGGTGAAATAACTCCAGCCACCTCTGGCTAACTCACGTAAATATTACTCCACCTCTTGAGCTTTGGTTCCCCCAGTTCTAAAGGAGAGGCGAAAACAGAACCTTCCCCGTGGGACTGTTTCGAGGAGGACATGGATAATGTGTGTGATCACGCGCTGTGAGCCTTTCTACAAAGGTACAGGCGGGGAAAGCCACCTTTGTGTGGCCACTTGTCTGCTGTGCCTAGATGTGGTCAGCGTTGTAATGGTTAAAGAGCCTGGCCAACTTTCTCACTGACGGTCTCTATTCAAGAAAGTAAATAATCTAAAGTGCGCACTTATCTCGGGGACTCAAGGTTTTCTTATCTTAAAAGAGAGAAAAACGACTGGCAAAGCGGTGCAGCCCTCAGTAGTCTCCTTTCTCCTGAATTGTCTCCAGCGCAAATACACTGTTCACTATGGACCTAGGTGATTCGGGAATAAGTTGTGACTTTGCCCGCTTTGCTCTTCATTCCTTCACCTAGAACTTGTGTTTGCTTCAGCAACCTGTAACAGAAGGGCTGCTCTTGATATCACATATGGAACTAATAGCTTCTTTGATAGACGAACTCTTCAGGATTAATATTAAAATGCTCTAATTTCCGTAGACGACTAAGAAAATGAAGAAGCTGGAGAAGGACACAGCCACATGGAAAGCCAGGTTTGAGAGCTGCAACAAAGCTCTGTTGGACATGATCGAAGAGGTGAGGAAGCTTTTCCCTTCGCTTATTTTCCCCCTGCCTAGTCAAAACATTCATACTTAGAAAACTGTATCCTAAAAGTAGAAATGATTACCTTTGGAAAAGGGCTGAATTTTTCTGGGATGTGATATATGACATCGTAATAAAAGTAATTAGAGCCAAGTAATTTAGAATCAGGTCTGGACTCATGAAGAGCTTTGTGTCCCTTAAGTCACCTGTCTACTTGTAAATTCCAAAGCTGTCCCCCAAGTGGCAGCAGGCCTGCTGGACTGTGAATTCCTTAAAGGCCTGACCAGTGTCTTACTTGCCTTTGAATTTCCCCAGAGCCTGGCATATAACAGGTACAGAATAAATTAATTCATTGATTTGAACATACTGAAAGAAGACACCAGCCCAAGCTCCCAGGGTGTATGTTATTTTATAGACAGATACAGAGATATGTAGTTTAATTTCTCCAACAGGCACTTAAACACTGATATTATGTCAGGCTCTGAGTAGGTGTAGAGACTATACAGGCAAAGATACATGGCCTTTGACCTGAGAGGCAGGACTTACAGGTGACAGTCTCTCCATGTAAACAAGTAAAAAAAAAAGTCTTAAAAGGAACAGAGTAGCACAAAGATGGGCTAAAGGAGTAAGATGATTAGGAATGATTTTATGCACAAACGCTGGCATTTCTAGAGAAAAGGAAGGATGAACAGTTTGAGCAGCCAGCATTATGAATTAGCCTGTGGTGAGTTTCTGTGGTTATAATTACTGTTCTAACAATTCATCCCAAATTGCAACCAATTCCAAAGACATGAGCTTATTATTCATCAACATAAGTCAAACAGTTGCTGGATTAACACAGAGCAGTGTGTCCATAAAGCAGATAAAGCATCGCTCACTGTCAAGCCCAGTCCATCTCATTTATTCTGCCACTGGCAGCTACTTACACCCTCTACGTCTTAAAAGTAGAAAATTCATCTACAATTTTAGAGGCTCTGGACTGAAGCTGAGAGAGGCTTCACCATCTTTCTTTTCTAAATACTACCAGAGTGACTGAAATTCTACCAGAGTGTAGCACACAGTGCAAAAAAAAAAAGATTCTCTGACAAAGTATCTGTCCAGCCCCTACTCTGTACTCAAACCCCAGAGCCTAGTAGACAAATTCCTGGACAAATGGTTTTGCTTCTTTCCAGAGAACATCCTGGCAATTTGGTTTTTGACATTTGATGTGAATGTTTATTTTCAAATCACAGAAAGCATTGAGAGCCAAAGAATATGAGTGCTTCGTGATGAAAATTGGGAGGCTAGAGAATCTCTGTCGGGCTTTACAAGAAGAGAGAAATGAACTCTACAAAAAAATCAGAGAAGCAAAAATGCCTGAGAAGGATGAGCAAGGCCAGCACACCTCTGACGAAGAGCCAGAGGCAACTGTTTCTGTGGGTGAAGAGGCTGACGCAGAAAACGTCAACAGTATTCACGATGCTGTGAAAAACCTGGCCACAGCCTTCATGGTTATTCATCATTCAGAGCCGACCCTTGACCAGTCCAAAGAACTCCAACCAGAACTCAGCAGTCCTCAAGGGGGCGCTGACAGGGCCCCCAAGGAGCCAGAACAACTCTCTTTGGGCCCTTCATGCCATTCAGAGAGTTCTCCACCTCCCCCAGCTTCTCAGGCTGAGGCTGAAGGAGGCCAGGAGGCAGAACCCCCTCCCAGTGCCAGCAATCTCCCTGTGGGGTCCGGAGCAGAGCCCCAAGACCAGGGTTTCCCCACTGGAGTACTGGCTGATCAGCAGCCCCTTCCGGAGGCAGAAGCTGCCTGTCAGGCTCCACAGTCCTCACTAGAGGCCTTCCCACAGGGGACGGAGGCAAGTGGCCCTGCCCTGGCACCCCCGGCAGATGAGCAAGTGCCAGCTGGGGGGCCTGGACAGGAGCCCACTAGGCAGCTTCCAGCAGCAGCAGCGGCAGAGGGCCTTCCAGAAGGGGACTCCGCTGGAGCCCAGCTGCCCAGGGGGGCCGACACCAACCTGGAGGGAGTAGACTAAGCCTCGTGGTGCCTCCAGAGGCTGTTCTTCCTGACTTCACATCTTCATCATGAAAGACTGTCTTCTGAAAGAGGCATTAAGGGCCAGGGATGTCTAATGAAAGAGACTTAATAAGAATCAAAACATCTTTAAATGTTATGCAGAGCACATTCAGCCTTTGCTATTTGTTCTCAACTTATAACTGATTTGGAGCTTTTGTGTTTAACACTGGTTAACAGTATAATTTTCCCAAATGGCAACAAAGCATGCTAAAAGAAAATTTATGTTAATCTGCTATTAAGATGGTACAGTACTTATTCAATTTGTTAATCAATAGTAAGATTTAGTATTTAAAGACTTCCACTATAACATGTGATGTTCCATCTTTATTTCCATATATAGCTTAATAAGTTCCATAGGAAGTAATGGATGTCCAGGTTCTATTTATATATTATATACATAATATATACATAAGTACAGGTACATGTGTTTAAATACAGGTGTGTGTTCATGTGTAAGTATATACATGCATGTGCTCGTGCATGTATATACACATATGTGTATTATCTGTGTGCACTTACATATATTTCTTTAATACTTTTTAAAATTTCTCTCATGCAAAATATTTAGATGCTAATCAAAAAATTTATCTTTTACTTGCTCTTAGGACTACAGTAGACTAATGTTCTAGGAATCAGAAATAGCTTCAGGACACAAGTATTTAGGCCACGTAATGTCAGGCAAAAATGAGTAAACCAATGACAGGTCAATAAATTCAACCAATGGATCAAATGACAGAACCGCAGTTGGGCTGGACTGCAAGTCCATGGAAAGTGCATAGGTGTGAAGATGGGCACAATCGACCCAAACTGAGAGGGGAGCAACAACAGGTGTGGACTGCTCACTTCTTCCAGCGTCTTCTTCTATGCAACTCAGCCCACTGCCTTGCAACCCGGCTTACCTGTGGCTTCCTGCACAGAAGGGGTTGGAGTGGGAAAGGGAGTGAGGGCACGGAGGGACTGAGGGTCCTCAGACAAAGAAGAAGCTGTGCTCATTCATCCCCTGCCTCTTGTGCTACCGAGGTCCTGAGACAGTGAACGCGCCTGGCCCTGCCAACTGCACAGCCCCTCCTTGTCACCAACCGCTCTCTCCAGAGGGTTTCCCACCTCCTCCTCCTGTCACTGTCTCCGTCTACATTCTCAAAACATCTGCTCCCTCTTTCCACCAGGAAATTTCAATTTCCTGCCCTCGTTTCAATTATTGCTAAGTAAAAGCTATTATCTTTCCCAAACAGGGTCTCAATATGAGTGATGAGGCTTACAAGCCAACACATTTTCTTCTACTTGAGGAATTCTCTAGTGCCACAAAGCACAGGACAAATAGCTCTCTACTCAACATGACTGGAAAAATAAGTGAGGATTCGGGACAAGACAAAAGCGTGAAACACCTGGGGTTGTCTACCTGAGTATTACATTACCCTTGCTTGACAAGAACCCCCAATACTAGTGACAGCATAAGTTACTCTCTGGGTAAAACGAGACCACACCGAAGAGATGGGAAGGATGAGAGGGATGGGGGAGGGGAGTAAGTTCTAGAAGGAGGGAAAAAGGGAAGAGGAAAGAAAAAAATGGATCTAACCCAGCCCCACCTTGTAAGTTGAACTCAAGTGGAAAAATGAATAAAAGCAAAATTCTCTACTACTCATGCAGGAAATAATTCTTCAGTGTCCCATGCACTGTCTGCCAAGGCACACAGAGTGCTCGTCAACATGCTACAAGAACTAACTGCATAAAATGTGTTTGAAGTAGACAGTGAGGGTAATAACTAAATGCTAATCAATGGGAGGAAAAGCTTATTGTTATTTGAGGATCCGTGTATTTTTTAAAGACCTAAGATATTGTAATCACAGGGGATCCAGCCAAATTCAGCATCACTTGAAGTCTTAGAGATTTAAACATTCATTTAATTTAGAGCCAAATATTCACCATAACAATTCAGGAGGATCTCCTTTTCCACTATTTACCAGGGCTAAACTTCCAAGAATGGACTAAGGTTAGATAATCACAGTAAAGTCTGTCTGAAATGTTTAGCAAAGAGAAACAGGCAAGAGAGGAGCCAAAATCTGGGAAATCAAATATTCTAATACTCAAAGTTGTGTTTTGTTTTTTTTTACAACCAAAAAACTTTCATAGCAACACATTACTAACTATACATCTTGGGCAGAGTTTTGGATACAATAACTTGCCTGAAATTTGCAAAACTTAATATAGGCTTTGGGAAAATTATTTTCATATTCAAAAAATGTTTTACTAGAGTCCTTTGTGTTAAAATTTGGCCTTACTAATTATAACAATAACTCATAAGACCTGAACGAATGAGGTCTTTATCAAGTTCATGTAACTATTTCTACAGGTGACGAGTCTACTTTCCCACTAGACTTGTTTGGTGTTTTTTGAATGAAACAACTATGATTTATGTGTCTATTAAAATGATACTTTGTTTCCCAAATGCTCTGGCAGTAATTTTATTTTTTAATTTTAATTTCTACTTATGTTTACTTTTGTTCCTTCTATGTTTCAACAATACCTAACAAAGATTATGGGTTTATTCTACTGTTGATTGATATTTTGGTCTGAGTAGAGTGTAACAGAGTAAACTTTGAAAACCTTGGGTGTGTGCGTGTGTGAAGGGGAAGGGAAGGGAGATAGAGAGAACATGACTGCCAGGGCTAAGAAGGAGGAAATCCTGGCTGGAGGACTGATGCCATGTGGCTGAGGTTTCTTTCCAGTTGCCGTCTCCCATGACACTATGTTTCTACACGTGTCCCTCAGAAAAGCTCTGCCCTGTGTATGTCCTTCGGACACAGTGTGAGGAGTAAGGGGGGAGTGTAGAAGGGATCAGCTCGTTTTGCCTCTATCTATTTCTTCTGACTGCCCTGAGAATTTTCTCTAGTAAGACCAGAAAAAGCCCAGCTCTTCTACCTTTTGCTTTATCTCTCACCCCAGACCATACTGATCTGGGAAGGGTTTCTTGAACTTGGCATTTCCTAACATAGTTGGGGAAGATGATTACTTAGCTAGAATGGGAAAAAAGATTCACCCCTGGACTTAAGGCAGTTTTTCCTTTTTTTTTTTTTGACCTCATGTAGTCACACATTTTTAAATAGCTCTCTTTTTTGAGATCATAAAGGTATTATGCCTTCATTATAAAGCTGATGTTGCTTTTCAATAATTTCTCGTTACAAGAGAAATCATTTTAGGAGAATTTCCTCAGCCCCTCCAACTCTAACCAGTAGTGAAATCCAATATTTAGGAAAAGGAAAAGTAATTTAAAATGTAAAGAATGCACTAAAAGAAGATTTGAAATAAAAATGATGACTTTGGTCTCTAAAATTTCTTTCCATCATAAACTGGCAAGTAGGATTTAGGAAGCAAATTAGGTATATGGGCTAAATTTATACACAATAATTTCCTTTTATATACTTTAGACTCTGAAAGTTAAAGTTATTAAATTGACCATGAGGACACTCCATTAGAATAGAAGCATTCCTAAATGATAGTAATAAAGGTTTTTCCCACCCTGGTAAGTTGTATCCTCAGTACCTGAAGTTGAGTCTCATTGGTGATGTCTCCTGATAGAAGTTAGTTCAATAAGTGCCAGTTGCAGCTGCATGTGTGTGTGAATGTACAAGCATGCACACATATGCACATCAACACACATGTATGAAATCTGACCTAGATTTAATTCTGCTGCTGTAGGTGAGTCTTCACACTTGTATTTCCAAAGGACACTAAGTATAATCTTTCCTGACAAGAACAAACTTTAAAAAGAAGTTGTTTCCTGTGTGAATGAGGATATTTGATAGAAACATTTCACTAGCAAAATAAGCCTACAAATTCATTGATCAATTGCACCAAGTAACTTACAGAAGCTGTTGAACTCTACCAGGAGATGAGAAATGAAGTGCATCAATTCAACAGCGTAATCAAGCTGGCTAAATCCAGGGGCAAGTCCTTCTGTTTGCTGGATTTCAGAGCCTCAGCTTTCTATTAACACCAATGTCCATCCCATTTTAACTATGAATTTATTTAAAAGCGATATATTATAATGTAAAATGACCACACATCATAATTAAAACATACGTAGGTATAAAACTCATCGTTTCAGAACCAGCAGTTGATTTGACGACACTTTATGTCCAAAAACACAAAACCAGCATAGAAGCCAAGCAAGAAGGCATTATTTTCAGAGAGAGAAAGATGAGAGAGGAAAAAAAGGACTTTCACTCTGATAGCTTTTCTATGAAGAAAATGAAAAATAGAACTTTAAGATGAGTAAGAGCAATAAAAGGAGGAGGCACATAAATTGGTGGATGCTGTTATGAGAACAAGGTGGTGATGGGAGGCCAGAGCCACAGTGACAGTAACGCCCTCCCTGCCCAGCAGGACTGCGGCCTGGGGAATTTTTATAAGTGTGTTTCTCAGCATTGGTGCATTACTGCATTTCTGTTAGCTTTCTATTAAAATAATAAGTGCATTTATTCAGCATAAAATTAATAAGACTATATCATAAAACATTTAGAAAACAGAGAAAAAAGAAAAATTACCCATAATTCCATTACCCTAACGTAACCACTGCCAGCATTCACTATGTCCTCGTTTATTTTAAATGATCTATCTGTTTTATTTAACATGATGTTAACTTGTCTTTTGGGGAGAGCACAAGGGTTCAAGTGAGAGTAATAGCTATTAATAGCTGCCAGATTTCAGTGCAAGTTTCATACACTTTACCACGGAATATGAGAGCATATTATATTATCTTCAGAATGAGCATGACTATGCAAATACAAATGCACAGCATTCTTACATGTTGTTTGGAAAAGTTATCCCATGGGTTGCACTTACGTGTCCCACCACACATAGGTAAGTTTCCAAGTAAACCAACTGACATGGCTAGAGAGATGCTTAACCCCAACGCTGCTCAAAAAAATAGAAACTAAAAAACCTTCTCTAGAGAAATACTCATGCGGTAGCTAACAAACAAAGAGGAAAAGCTGAACTCCAGTTTATAAAGTGACAAAAAATATGATACTATATGTTTAATATTATAAATCATAGCATTGGCTAAGTGAAGGTCAATGTTCTAAAACAAATCCAAACTCTTCAAAATGAGTGAGACAGTTAGCGGTTTTCTTGTTTGGATGAAATGGTGGTCAGCAGCCGTTAGCTGTATCATATCTCTGAGGTAAGGCAAAGCTAACAACCACTGTGAACCTGTGATTTCTCTAAAACCCACCAGGCAGAGGCAACCAGCCACAGAGAGTAGTCAGAGATACCACACACTGTACAAAAAGATTTCAAAGCCAAGTTCAAATTTACAGGAATAGTACAACAGAGACGTCTTTCATCATGCCCTATCATGAGGGTAAACTTATGTCCTATCTAAACCAGTATAATCATTCCTCACAGACTACTGTAAAGAAATTATTCCCAGGAATGAAACCAGCTCAGTCTAACCAGGGTAAGAAGCGCAGGATGGCACTAGTCTAGGAATCAGGCTATTGCACCCCTAGTTCCTGTTCTGCTACCAAGTGGCTAGTAATTTCAGAGAAATTAACCTCTCTGGGCCTCAGTTCTCTCACCTACAGGAGCCTTGGACTAGATGTCTGAGGGTTTGGAGTCTCTGACTACTTGAGGTTTGAAATCTTTAAGAGACTTATGAAGTTATATAGGGCTTTCTACACTCCAAGGAAGGTTTTATTCTAAGACATCTACACATCACCTTGGGCACTTCTACTAAGTCAGGCAAGGAAAAGGAGACAAGAAATTACTCAATATCTTTTTAATTTAATTTTAAAAATTAGATGAATGAAGCATTAAGGTGGAAATCACAAATTCTTGGATTTATTCAACAAAAGCCGAAGTGCTTCTATGTGTGAGCCTCTGTGCTAGCCCGCGGATGGCAGTGGTTACAAAGTTAAACAAAGGATGCCAGGACCACCCATACCTTGGGCTCCATCTGCTCAAAAACAGAGCACCTAGTCATGTGACCAGGGCCCGAGCGTCCCTTGTACTGAGGGTCCCCTGTGCACCAGAGACTCATCACCAAGGACAGGAGTTGCAAGAGATGCTGAGAGGTCCCACCTAACCACAATGCTCAGCAAACCAAAAAGCAGAAAGGAAACCTCTACGAGCACTTTTATTACAAATGATACTCAGATTTCTAAGTGAAAAAGTTTGGGTTCCTGGTAGAGAAGAAGGGTTTTATAGAACATGTGTGGTTATTTGTCTGTGGCTGTAATGCATGTAACAGCATACTTGTATGTGAGAGTGTATATGAGTAATTGTGTGTAATATGTGCCAGTAGAAGTATGTAGTTTTATGAGAGTGTGTTGTATATATATAGTTCTGTGTGAATGTTTATAATTGTGTGTGACTGTATTCATGCATAACAAATCAATGTAAACCTGTGTAAATGTGTGTAGTTGTGTGAGAGTTTATAGCATGTGTGTGATGGGGCTGAGAACTGAAAGACCGGAACACTGCAGATGTGGTGTAAGTCCTGTGACTGGCTTGTTTTTTTACAAGATCATGTCTTGTCGCAGACTTTTGTTTGCGCAACAAACCCTCTCTCTCATACAGTGCTATGGGGCTCATTATTTTTTGGCTGACCATCTGCCTTCCGAACACACAGGCAGGTGGATGAGGCTACAAGTGTAGTGGCAGCTATTCACAAAATAATTGCACCTGTCACCAGCCCAAAGTGACAGCCAACACTGACTCATAGCTACCATCCCCAGACAAGGCGTTGGGTATGTCTTGATAAACTCACAGTGCTATTCATCATATAGACCAGCCATGGCTTGAGTGGGAAATACAAGAAGTAGTAGCAAACAGAATAACTGGATTCTGGTTTTTCTAAATGAGAGAAGAGCTTCTCCCAGGGCCACTGCTTCTAACAAAGTCGGCATCCCTGGAGGCAGAGTTCTAGTTGGCTTTATCTCTACTGAAACCAAACCCCTGAATATTAAGAACGTTTCCATGAACTAAAAGCCAAAGAGAAAGTGTCCAATCCATTTACATTTTAATCAGTGAATCAGAAGAAAGCAAACCAGAGATGACTGCAGATGCAACCAGCCAATCAGTCAGGCCCATGACTCATTCTTTGTGCACAGAGATTCTTTGCTGTGATACAATTCATCTCCCAAAAATATCTACTATTGACTAGCTGTGCTGTCATAGCTGGACCATCTGGCTGCTCCCTTGCCTGTTATTAGGAAACTGATCCAGAAGTCCTCTGATTCAGACTGGGAGTAATTTAAGGCAATACTCGAAGGAAGGAGAGTGAGAGCTTTTTATAACAAATTAATTGCCTGCCATAGAAGTAAACTGATGATCTTCAAAAGCTAAAGGGAAGAAAACAACTAAACATAAATAAAATTTAAAAGACAAGAACAGAAGAGAGAAGATAATCACAATAATACAACAAAGCATGAATGTCCGGAATAC